TGCATCAGTGCGTGTGTTTTTCAAGAAAGTCTTGTGACCGATACAGGAGTTGTTCCTAACTGAGTGACTCACTAAACTGATTTTAAGAATGTATTTGCAGTTTATCATTAAAATTAACAAGAAGTTTGGAGCAGCCTAAAAGGAATAGGAACATTTCAGCCGTTGCGTTTTTTTTTGTGTTTTTTTTTCTCATTGTGTCATCCTTTTCCTCTCAGTTATCACTCAACTTATCTGAATTGAAGTTAATTTGAAACTGACTCTTTGTTTATTTACTGTTTTTATTGTACTTACTGCTTTAAAAACATGATTTAAAATCCTAGTCCACAAGCATCCTCATTCACATTTTTCCCTAAATTATAATGTTTTGATATATGTTTACATTATTTATTGGCTGCATCTAAAAATATCAAACATATTTTCAATTTAAACATAGATATTAAATAATACAATATAACTTACAATAAAATTAATTATTTTATTATAGTAGGTCATCAAATAAATTCAGTTCAGTCTGTCAAATAAACTGTCTGTAGTGTTTTTAAAGTTCCAGCAGGTGAAGAGTCAACGACATAATGAGGGCATCAACTGGTTCAACTCAAGCCTAAAAAAAGGAAACTATAATGCGGTTTGGATGGACCTGACATGATTAGGAGTCTCGGTTGAATAGTGAAAAGCATTAACTCTAACTGGTAAGAAGCAGCAGAGGAACAGGGTAATATCTGAGCTGAACCGCCTGATCCAAAAGGTTCTGAAACTAAGCATCTAAGGAGGGTTTAATGTAGGAGATGTGACAAGCAGAATGATAGTTTTAGCATCATTAAAGGTTTGTGGATTTTACTTGACACTTCAGATATTTTTATGAACTTTTTAAGCTCAGAAAATCTATATCTATAGAATAGAATAGAACAGATCAGAATAAAATTGAATATGACCGAAAAGAACAGAACAGAATTTAACACAGCAGAATAGAATAGAATAGAACAGAATAGAATGACTATACAAGAAGTCCTAAATATTTGTCAATCAATGCAATTCACTTTATTTCTATAGCTCCAATTCACAACATGTCATCTCAAGGCGCTTTACAGAGACAATTCAATCAGATCATGCAGTCAGATTGGTTCAAAGTTTTCTATCTAAGGAAAACCAGCTGATTGCATCGACTCACTGACTTGAAAGCAATCCCTCACACAAGCATGCTTTTAGCGAGAGTGGAGAGGAAACCTCCAGCAGAACCAGACTCACTTTGAGCGGCCATCTGTTGAGGCCAACTGGGGTTCAAGTAGATAGAAGCAGACATACGGAAAGAACCAGAGATACAAAAGGCAACCGTGATTCAGCTCCACAGGCGGCCCCATCTATCTATCTATCTATCTATCTATCTATCTATCTATCTATCTATCTATCTATCTATCTATCTATCTATCTGTCTGTCTGTCTGTCTGTCTGTCTGTCTGTCTGTCTGTCTGTCTGTCTGTCTGTCTGTCTGTCTGTCTGTCTGTCTGTCTGTCTGTCTGTCTGTCTATGCCATTTAGACTTGGACAAGTTTTATTGTCAAAATTAAATTTCATTTTGTACAGCTTTCATGACATTTCCATTCCTTAAATCACAGCAGTAATCAAATGTAAACAGTGTGAGAGAAAAAAACATGGTACAAAAAACGGATTGATATGGAAGTTCAGAGCAATAAATAAATATGGTGCAATTATGCTGTGTTTGTCTGGTGTTGAGATTCTTTTTTCAACAGTTCAGCCGTCTAATGGCGGTGGGGAAGAAGTTGTTCTGTAATCTGCTGGACCTGCATCGGATGCTTTAAAGCCTCTTTCCAGAGAGCAGCAGGGAGAACAGTCCATGGTGGGGGTGTGAGGGGTCATTGATGATGTTTTTCAAATCAGACCAGGTTTTCCCCCAAAAGTTAGCCAATTATCAATGTGGTCCACAACGTTTCAGGACACCACCTAGACAACAACGGTTGAATGACGACATGCGGCTAAACATGTCATCACCGGTCAGATCAGGGAGGGGACTAGAGAAAATTACAGAGTCTGGCATTGTTTTGGCAAACTTCCACACCGAAGCAACAGTAATTTTAGTGACCTCCAATTGACACTTCTGGGTGTCATTAACACCATCTGAATAACAATTTTACTGTATTTAACCTTATCCCAAAGACATCTGTGGAGTAAAAGCTGGTTTATACTCAGAAACCAGGTTGTCTGCGTGTGTGTTGCAGTTAATGCAGATATGCCCTCCCACTTGGTTTGGTACCTTACCGTTTGGTTTGCATGACAGCCATTTTGAAAAATGACTTGTGAAGTTGGACCAGCTAGAAGAGTGAGGTGCGCAAGAACGCTGGGACCCTTTTTTCACCTCAGCCGTATCTAGACCCACAGCTAGTTCATGATTGTCCCTCTTGTGTTGTGGCGTGGAATAACATAACACAGACCATGCTTCATTATTGGGCATAAATACAAAATATGTCTTACACCTCCGACAAGCTCACTGTGACACACTGCTGCAGGATTATATACAGCCAGGCTTCACCAGTTATAAAACCAATGGAGTCTAAAACTATTTATGTCTATTGTTTGTTCACATGGAGAGAGGGAACTATTCGTTATATAACTGGAGTAAAAAAGGCCACACCTAAAAGTTTACATTTTCATAATTTTCCGGACATATATCATAAATCATGCAGCCTGCCCTCAGCTTGTTTGGAATCCAATTTGTGTGGGTTGCGTTTTTGTGTCTTTCTCGCCCTCCACCACTAGATGGTGCTCTGTCCTCGTTGCTCCTCTCAAACACCTGCTGCTGGTTGACTCATCACTGAGGACTATTTGAGCCATGGACTGTCACTACCTCGGCGCCAGAGTGTTTGCCAGTTTTGGGTACTCTAGCCAAGCTGAGTTTTGTTGAGTCTAACTGAGTCTTTGTTTTTTTCGCTGAGCCTAACCTAGTTTTTTTTCTTTGCCTTTTTGGCTGGAAGCCTTCCTGCAAGCTGGATGTTTGGCCTTCTCGCCCTGGAAGGATTGTTTGAGTCTAACACTGATAAGGGGATAAACCTCCACAAGTTCCGTTCAAGTCCTCCTGGATTCCCAGGTCACAGTCCGCTCAATAGCTCCTCAGGGTCTAACCAAATCTAAACCTGTCCGGCCTCCAACGAAAACCCACACCGACTGGATTCTGGGAAGAAAGTTTTCTCCACTAACGTGAGTCCCGTTTTCTCTGTCTCTCCAAGTCACCGTTCAAAGTTCCCACGGATCCTGAACTAATCACTAAAACTTCCCTTCCCTCTTCGAGTTCCGGTTCACCAGTTCACTGTGTTTCCTGAATCCAACCCCACCGGTTTCATCATTAAACCTTTTCAAACTTTTACCCTGGTTCTCTGAGTGGTTTACTGCATGTGGGTCAGATCTCTTAAGAAAATCATGACACAGCTTTCTTTGTTTTGATGATTTGCAGAAGAAGAACAGTGGTGTTTTTGTGGAAATTACATCAGCTTAGGGGTAATATTCAAAATGTAATGTTTGTTGTGAAGGGTGTGTGTCAAGAGCCATCCATTATGATCATATAGTCCTGCAGCATTGAGGAAACATTAAATTTTATTGTCTGGACCCCCACTTTTGGTCTGATTTTAAGTTTCCTTTGTTTAGTCCTTGAGACATGCTAAGAGTTGTGCCATGGTTGCAGTAATGTTAAATGATCAGTTTCATTCAGCTCCTAATTTACTCTCCAGCAGACTTAAATAAAGTTATCACATTATGTTGCTTTGCTTTGGTTTCAACCAATATTTAATGCAAACACTAATAAATGTTAATAGTTTGATATCTCATGTGTTTAACATGGTGAGCTGGGAATCAGGTAAATTTTTAGGAAGAGGAAGGGAAGATGGCCCAGTCGGTGGACAGCTGCAGAGGTGAGCTGGCTGTGAACACAGACTCTAAAAATCACACAGCTGCTTTTAAATTCAAGGTCGTCTGGGTTAATTATATTAAGTTCTCTTCTTTCCTATAATATTCTATTAAAATATAATTTTGGTCACACAAAAAGTAGCATATCAGTTTTCAATACTTACATCAGTGCTGCCCATTTCGCAATGAATACATCATGAGAAGGGATTAGCTATGAAGGCTAACTGGACCTATCCCTAAAACTGGGGACCTATTAAAAAATGAGACTGCTTTCATCTCACCGCAGTGACGATAGGAGCCTTGGAAAGATGCAGGCCCTTAATCTAGACTGAGACCAGGGGAGCTAAGATGTGGGGACTTGTATGTTGGCTGCGAGTGGAAAACTTCAACTAACCAGTGCTAAGATAGAGTTATGGCACAACATCTTCAAGCCAAAACACATGTGAGGCAAATTAGTTATTTGTGTGGAAGATTTTAAAGTTAGAAGCCAGATTTGTGCTTCATGTAAGAGGTGGAGCATCACTTTAAGGAGCTCCAGGACTTCTTAAGTATGAATCAACCTTTCTCTATCCCCTCCCCAGTACATAGAACCAAATCCAGTAGCAAACCCGAGGATTGAGCTGAAGAGAAAACTGAATCAGAGACAAGGCGGAAATCTGGACCTTCTAGAGTCAAATCAGATCCTCAGCTGAACTTTATAAAACATGGATACAATCTGGATCTGACTTTGAAAAAAGTGTTATTTCCGGAATCCGTACTGTGCCAAAAAAAAGAACCAATTAATAACGCTGCCAGACTTGAAATGAAAGCCAGCTTTCTGTTTACCAGGATAGAAAACAAACACACAAAGCAGAGAGTTTGTGAACTTTGTTTCCTGTTAAAAATCCACAAAGAACATGAAGTATTCACTTATTTTCAGCTTTTGATGAGAAACAGTAACTTTGATTGAAATCAGGTCTCTGCATTTATTTCCACACTATTCCTAAAAAAACACATCAGATTACAATTGGTGGTGCTGTTGGAGAGAAAAAAATTAAGTCTGATCATTAAGTCTGATTTAACAAGAAATTGAAATCAGTGCTCTTCTTTCAAGCAACATTTATTAATCCTTACATGGGAGAAGAGATATATCTTTTCCAATTTCCTTTGTCTGTTCAGATCTAGACAAGAATTTTCTAACTTACTCAAAGTCTGCAAAGAGCTGTGAAGGTCTCCACATACAGTTATTTAAAACAAGTTACAGACATTTAAAGAAAACAGTGACATGTTAAATAAACCTTGAATATGAAGCAGCCTGACCTCTAATCCAAACAGTCCCTAATAGTACTAAATAACCCCTCTCACTCAGACACTGTAGCCTTGCGGGGAGAGATGGCCTGAATGAATACTTTAGTGTAATAAATCAAAACAAGCTCACAATCACAGTTATGAACTAGAGGCCTAACAGGATCAGGGGTAATATATTTATTTTTCCCCATCACAATGATGTAGAGATCTAATCCAGCTCTGGTGAAAACTTCAGCAGAAGATTTTTTTCTTTTTATTTTAGTCTATTTAGTCTGTATCCGATGCCCCCCAAAAAACTTATTTTTGGTCGATAGAGTAAATGTTGGAAACAGAACCAAGAGTTGACCTGTGTTCTTTTCAGATATCCATTATTGGGAAGACAGAATCTTCCTGGACCGGACCAGCTTTGACAGGAATTGTCTGATCTCGTTAGACTGTGTTCCATAAATGATGGGGTTCAGGCTGCTGGGAACAATGTGGAACATGATAGCAGAAATATTCCTGTAGTGGAGGTACTGGGGAAACCGATGCAACAGGATGTTGACCTTCCCACAGATAAACATGATCATATAGACAGACAAGTGGGTGCTGCAGGTCTTCAGGGCCTTCCTGTTCAGAGACCGGTTCCTGCTGGTCAGACACACCAAGGTGATCTTGGTGTAAGTGAGGACAATGCTGCCTATGGAGGAGGTCAGAAGGACCACCGTAAAGGTCAGGCCATAGATGTTATTGATTACCACACTCTCACAGGAGAGCTTAAACAAGGAGGCGTTGTCACAGTACGGATTAACGATTAAAGTCCTGCATCGGTTCAGCCTTATAGTCAGACCCAGCAGAATCCCAACCAGAACAAAGGCTGTCCCCCAGGCTGAGGCGGTTAGCTTCAGCACCATTCTTTTGGTCATGATGGCAGAGTAACGCAGAGGGTTACAGATGGCCATGTACCTGTCGAAGGCCATGATCATCAGCACTGTATGGGCGGAGGTGCCAAAAATATGTGAGAAGAAAGCCTGGACCACACACTCATAATAGCTGATTAGGCGTTCAGACTGAGGCAATAAGATGTCTGAGATTAGACGAGGAAGCAAGTAGGTGTTACCAATAATATCGTTAACTGGAAGGTTACAGAAAAGCAGGTACATAGGGTGATGGAGTCTTTTATCAACCAGAATCAGAGTTATAATACCCAGATTAGAAGTCAATATAAACAGGTAGAGGAAGAGGAAGAGGAAGAAGAGTGGATACATGGAAGCTGGTGTGACTTTGATCCCTTCTATCTGCAGGGTAAAGCTGTTGAAGGAGGAATTGTCCATCAGGCTGAAACAAAACAGACAAACAAATCCATGGTCATCACATACAGGAAGAAGTTCAAAGTTAAATGATCTCACTTTAAAACAGCTGCAACATCTCAGATTATAACATGTTACCTGGGTTTTCTATCTTGCTCCTCATTACCTGTTGGACCATGTGGCATCAGACCTGAGTGTCTGTCATTTTATAAAGACAATGGTTCCTCAGAGGGTTGACGTCAACCTCATGGTCTTAGCAACAGACAAAATGGTTACATCATTGCTAAACTTCACCCTTTCACAGTTAAAGAGTCTGAATTAGTCACCAATGAAGCATATTTAACATCACTCATTAAACAGTATCACAGAGGGAATTTACCATTAAACTGTTTTTTATGTTTTGGAAAAATGAATAAATCATCATACCATTTAAGGAATTAATGTTCTTCAAGTAATTGTGTAACTTTTTTAAGCTGAGTTCTCAATTATTTTTCTTATCTTTGAGTTATTCCTGATGTTTTTCAGTCCTTACCTGTCGAAAACGATATCCCTCTTGGTATCCCTCTGTTCTAATGAGTTCCCTTCCTCAGTGTCTCAGGGACCAGGTCCTCTCTCAGCTGCATTGCATTCAGTTAACTGAACTCACCTAGTTTAGATGCCAAAGACTATGTTCTCTTTCTGCTATATCATCTGTAGCAGAAAAATTGCAGCTGTGAACCAAGGATGGGAGCTGAGGAGCACACCCGCAGCTTGGGGAGCCCTGCCGGGAAACGACACTAATGGCCCGGAAGAGGCTACAGCTGGCCCGGGCTAACTAGAGGCTAACTAGGTAGGATGAAAACAGAAAGTCAGAAGATCACATTAGTAGGGAGGGAAGAGAGGTGTCCAAAGGCAGTGTGAAGTGGCTGTGGCTTACTGTGAGGAGGAAGGCATGACAGCAAAAGGATACACCAGGGAGAAAGAGGAAGGGACGATGGCAGGATAAGGCGACCTTGAATGACTTCAGTACTTTGGACCCAATTTTCAGACAGACAGATCAAGACGATTTTCAACAGGCTTTATTATAGACAAAACACAGCAAGCGGCTGGTCGTCAAACCGGCGAATAACCAGATTATCTGCAGATATACACAGGTCAGTGACTGGAATGTTGGGCTGATCACGACTAGGAACAAAAGTCACTGACCTAGTTCAAAGTCCAGTCCAATCCCAGAGGCAAGGGAGGAATCCGGTAGGGAGGTTGTCCACATGGCTCCGAGTGAAGCTGGTGCCAGCCAATGCCGAGGGAGCAACAGTGTCCGTGAGGGGATATGCAGACCCAAAGTCAAATCCGAACCAGGTAGAAAAAACAGAATATCAAAGAGCTGAAAAGGTATCGAAGGACAATCCAAGCCGAGGCCCGTGACACAGTCCAAGTTTGGTAACCAGCAGTATTCAGGGAAAACAATCCAAAAAAAACAGACAGAGCAGACATGGGAAAGACAAGAACTCAGGTCCGGTCAGGTCAAACTTACACACCAAAGCAACACTAATTTTAGTGACCTCTGATCTGCGTAACCGGGTGTCATTACTGCCAGCGTGAATAAAAATCTTACTGTATTTAACCTTATCCTTAGCCAGCAGTTTCAGGTGGGATTTGATGTCGCCCATTCTGGCTCGCGGCAAACATTTGACTATGGTCCCTGGTGTCTCTAATGCCACGTCTCTGACTATGGAGCTGGCAATCACCAGAGTGGGCTTCTCAGTGGGTGTGTCACTGAGTGGGGAAAACCGGTTAGAAACGTGAACGGGTTGGTGGTGACCAGTGGGCAGAGATCCACAACTACGCTTTCTGCGTACAGTTACCCAATCACCTGGCTGCTCAGGCACTTTTGGAGGACAGCTATGTGGGTGGCCTACTTTAACTCCTGGATGTTCAACGGCCTTAAGCCTGGATTCTAACTCTGACACCCTCGCCTCCAAAGCTACAAAAATACTACACTTATTACACATACCATTATCACTAAAGGAGGCAGAGGAATAACTGAATATCTGACACAGAGAGCAGGAGAGAGGAGAGGAAGAAGGAAGAGTTGGAAAAGATCAAGGGAGGGAGAGAGAGAAGCCATACCAATGTTAAAGCAAGCACTAGCCTAGGCTAGCTACTCCTTACTATCAGCAATAAAACCATGTGAAACTGACAAGTGCTCAGTAGAAAAGTGCAGCAGAAGGCTCTATGTTTTAAAGTAGTTCTGGTTAGTTAGAGTTACTTAGATACAGAGATATCACAGAAAAAATAACTTAAATTTAGATGAAGATCGTCTGGAAAGCTACAACACTCGGTTAATCCAAACAGGAAGGGAACAGGCTCAAACAGGGAAATCCATGTCAATGTCAGTGGGGAGACCATAGAGCCAAAAAAAACCTTACGGAGGAGCACCTCCCACATTTCTTTAGCAGAAGAACCAAATGAATCATTTTAGAGAATCTGTAAATAATAGTCAGAATAACAGTGTTACCGTCTGAGCAAGGTAACCAGGTAATGAAGTCCATGAAAATGTGAGACATGGGGGAGAAGGGATAGGCAGAGGCCGGAGAAAGCCAGAAGGAGGTCTATTGGATGTCTTAGACTGGTTGCAAAGGGAACAAACTGCCACAAACTTCCACACATCTGCAGACAGAGAAGGCCGCCAAAACTGAGGCTGGACAATGTAAATGGTTTTAGTAACACCAGGATGACAGATGAGAACCGTGACAGAACTCAGTAGGACAGTAACTGGGAGATTATTGGTTGAGGAGGGCCTGACTGACCTCCTTCTCAATGTCAACCATAGTGATGGCACACCTCACAGATTCAGGCAAAACACATTCCTCATCACCACCAGAACTCAGCTCATCCACCTCAAACAACCTGGACAAAGCATCAGGTTTGATATTCCTTGACCAAGGTCTGTAAGATAGAAATAAATTGAAGAGACCGAAAAATAGTGCCCACCTCACCTGTCTGGGATTGAGTCTTGGATGACTTCAGTTATTCAGAATTTCCAGTACTCCAGAAACAGAGTACCTTAATAACAAGGTTCTGAAAAACTGCTGGTGCATTGGTGAGCTCAAAAGGCATCACCTGGTATTCATAGTGACCAGTGGGGGTGTTGAAAGTGGTCTTCCAGTCATCACCCTCTCGGATCCGTTCCAAGTGGTATGCATTGCGGAGATCCGGCAAGTGACTCGGAGAAGTACTTCTCAATAGCCTTCTCAGGGACGGACATGGCGTATAACCTAGCCCTAGGAGGTTTGGTACTAAGCAGTAGATCAATCCCACAGTCAAAGGAGGTTTGGTACTAAGCAGAAGATCAATCCCACAATCAAGGGGTCTGTGAGCCGTGTCCTGAAATACCCCATGGAGGTCATTTTACTCCTCAGGGACCCTAGAAAGATGCGGATAAAATTCTGAATCCTCAGAATAAACTCGGACTTAGTTGTCCATAAACAGGAACTCGGACATGCAGTAGACCAGTCTAACACTTCCACCCTTTGCCAGTCAATATGTGGGTTGTGCTTTGAAACCAGGTAGAACCTAAAACCGTTCAATATGGTTCCCACCCACCACCAGCTCCACAGGTTCTGTCAAAAGAAATGACTGATTTAGCTGATGTCCATTCTAGGGATACTAACTGAGAATCTGGTGTGGGAATTAGCTTGATGTCGAGTTGCCTGGCCAGGTCCCCATTCATGTACTCGGTATCTGCTCCTGAATCCAGAAAGGCTGACAAACTATGGCTAAGTGAGCCAACAGACAGAGTCAAAGCGAGCAGAAGTTCTGGGGAGGCAGATAATCTAGCTTGGCTCAGCAGGATCTTCCCTTCTCCTACTGAGCCTGTTCTGAGTCTCGACCGATGTTACTCTAAACCACAGTGGAAATAGAGCTGAAGCCTAAGGCGAAGATCTTTCTCCTCCTTGGATAAACGAGCACGTCCCAGCTGCACTAGTTTTGGACCAGAGGAGCGAGGGGGTTTCAACGTTGTCCCTTGAACCTCTGAAACTGATGGGAGGATGGGAAGTGGAGAACAGCAGGACGCCGCTCCCTGCGTCCCTCCTGAAGGCAAAGTTCAATCTTGGTAGCTAACTCCTGCAGCTCCTTCAGAGAATAAGAATAATCACGGGTGGCTAGCTCATCATTTATCCTATCCCTGAGTCCCATGAAAAAAAACTACGCCTAAAACACAAAATAGCATCTCAGAAAAATCCTCATAGGATTCACAGAGAAAGGAGTTCTCACTTTCCCCACAACTTCGCCTCACTAGTAACAGCAAGATTACATAAGCCATCTTGGCTCTCTCAGACAGAAATTTGCAGGGCTGCAGTGGAAGTGGATTTCGCACTGTTCTGGATCGCCCCATACAATTCAGGGGTACACAGAGGTGGTTCATGACAGGCAGAGACAGCAGGCTGAGGCATTGACACAGGCAGTGTGGGAAGGAGCAGAGGCAGCTGAAGCCTGATTACGCAGGTGAGCGAGGATCTCATTGACTCCAGATTCAAGCTGAGAGATTTCTTGTTTTACACCCTCTGTGTGCTGGATCCATAATATCAGCCAGATTATTCTGTCAGGACCTCAGAACCTTGGACCCAATATTCAGGCTAACAGATCTGAATTATTTTCAAACAGGCTTTATTAATATAAAACACCTAGTGGCTGGTCATCAGCAGGGCGGATTCTATTCTCTGGATGGAATAGAAAACTCAGATCAGTGACTGGAATGTCGGGGGGTGATCACTACAAGGAGCAAAAAGTCACTGACCTGGTTAAACAGTTCAGTCCAATCCCATAGGAAAGGGGGGAGGGAGATTGTCCACCGCTTGCGGTCGTAGCCACTTCCAGTGGCCAATGATGAGGAGGCAACAGTATCCGTGAGGGAATTTCCAGAGCTGAAGTCGAATCCGAACCAGGTGGCAGACCAGAAGATAAGAGTGGAAAAGGTACTGAAGGAGAATCCAAGTCATGGTCAGTGACAAAGTCCAAGTTTGGCAACCAGCAGAATACAGGAAATCAGTCCAACAACAAAACTGACAAAGCAGACAAGGGCAAGACAAAAACATGAATATCTCTTACCAAACAGCTCAAATAATCTGGCGCCAATGGTATTCAAACCAACAGCATAAATAGCAGGTGGAGCAATATTCATTAATGAGCCGCCAGGCCAACATCATCTTGGTCCTAATTGACAGAAACCTCTATCAGCTTATGTAGCTGCTGCTCTGATACCTAGCATTTAATGATATCTTAGGAAATTCTATTCTCCTACCCGTATAATGTCAGACATTCTGAAGCCTCCGTCTGAGCGCCTTATCTGGTACTATGAGTGTGTGGTTCAAGCTTTCCTGTCCAATATGCCGCTCATCATGTTTGGCCGATCATGATCATGGCCTTCGACAGGTATGGGGCCATCTGTAAACCTCTGTGTTACGCTGTCATCATAACCAATATGATTCTTGTGAAGCCCTCTCTGCCTGGGGCACAGCATTTTTTCTGGGGATTCTGCTGGGTCTGACAGTCTGGCTAAACTAATGCAGGACTCTCATCAGACATCCATACAGGTAAAATCAAATTTATATTTTGCTTTTTGGTCTTAGCCACAACAAGAATCTGATCATTTGAAAAAAAAACTATACATACAAGTATATATGCACACACTGAAACTGACAGTAAAATTACCCGTGAAACGTCTTCCCACAGCCGGCAAACTGCTTTTCTTTGCAGCCAAATGTTACACATGTAGGCATTTTTACGGTGCATCTCCGTGGGAGTGGGGAGTACCAGCATGGCAGACGGTGGCTTCACTTTTTTAGGGCAATCAGCAATCCAATGACTAGCGATCAGTGGTATCTGATCACTCCTTGTTTGAGATTCTGAGGCTTCTGTTGGCCTGACCACAGCAGCCCACGCTCCAATACCTCTGATTGGCTGGAAGTGACAGTAAGTCAGATTCCTGTTATAACTATGTGAAGTTATGTTTAAATATTTCATAACCTACTGCATCTTTGGACATACGAAAAAGAAAATGTATTAATTGAACAAATACAGAATTTATCTTTCAATAGACAAATCTTAAATATATCAATTTTTGTGGTGCTTTTGCATTTGAATACAAAAAGGTAATACAAAATGGTGATTGGTGTTGTAATATTTTTCTTTTATAAAATATTACTGACATCTAAAAAGCAGTTATTGGCTTTTTAGCACAGATACATAGTTTTGTTTTTGTTTTGTTTTTGGAGCATGGAGAGAGTTATTAAATTTATATTCTTATTTAGTTGTTTGTTTTTGTGTTTATTTAGCAACACTAAATTAAATGTATGCTCATTCAAGAAAAGCTTGCTTTGGACAAAATTTGTTTAAAAAATGTGAAGCTTGTGAAACAGCTTATATCATCAAATAAAGCAGCCTCAATGCACAGACCTAAGTCAAACGTTTCATCAGTTGAAGAGCATTTTACTGGACTGTGGTGCCACCTGCTGCTGTCAGGACGCACTACATGCATATGTGCAATAGTATAGATTAAGATATGTTCAGTTCCTCTCTGCAGAAGTTTTATAGGTCTCTAAAAGTGAAGGCTTTAAACTCAGATCTTAAACTCGAATCATTGAAGGACGATTCCCTGAAAACTGTCATAGTAGTTTCCTATTTTCCTCATTGCTATTGTACGTCCAGCACAATCTGTCCTCGGCCTCTAACCCACCCTTATGACAGAAAGGTGCCTATGTGCAGCACCCTATGGGCATCCTGTGGTTAGGGCCTTGTTCAAGGTCCCAATCCCTTGTGAGGAATTTAAACCAGGGATCTAGCAAAAAACGTAAAGCTGACAAAATGTTTCTGTTTCCGGACTTTAATACAATAAAAAAAAATAGATTCAATTACAAGGGAAAATCTTTTTATTTGTAACTGAAATTGCGTAATGTGATTTTAAAGCAACTAAAACCTAATGATTACTAATTAGTTGGAATTGATTTAACCCTTTGTTGGAAACAGGGTATTGTGTTGTGGATTTGTTACAAATATATCATAAATATTAAAAACTATAACTTATTTGCCAGATCACAAAAACTAAAACCATAACCAATTAAATAAATAAAAAATAACATAAACCTAACATTCTATAAAATAATACTGACAAATAGAACCAACAAACCCACAATTTAAGATTATAATTGGCAAGAAAATATGAATCTTGCTGAACTCCAAGACTGGAGTTTTGGTCCACAGGTCTAAAGGATGTGAGATCCATGTTCCGACATCAAGATAGGCTGCTAGCCCAGGCACTGAAGGTTTGGTGGTTGAACGGATCACTAACTGAGGGCCTCGGGTGAGGTTTTATTGTCTGAAAGGCTAAAAACAAACACAATAATCTTCCTCCATGTTTGTCTTTATTTCTTTTTTAAGGCTGCAAACATGAACTGACCCAAAATATCCCTAATTATCTACACCAACACAACCCCCCACCTTAAAGCCAGTCTGTACAGACAAAGAACTGGAAACAGGAAGTCAGCAATCTAAGAAAAACAAGCAGGAAGTGTAGACCAGATAATGTTTTGTTGATTGAGAGGAGTGTCAGACACAGCAAAACAGAGAGAAATAAACCTGACAAAAGAGAAAAAAGAGGGTTCTAATCTAGACAGTATAGAACATAAGTCTAGCAGATAGAGAACCATTGGGTCTGAGTATGGATGCATGCCACACTTTTTAGAAGGTCTTATGTTAAGGCCCATGAGTCATTTTCCATTTTTTACATGGAGGTCTGTGATTTTAATGGGCCAAAATAGATTTTTAGGATAGTGTAGCAGAGAGAAGAAATTTGGTTTTCAGCCCTCCTGCAGCCAAAGCCTATAGCAGCAGAATTATGGAGAGAGCTGTGGATAACCTGAGCAGTTAAATAACAATTCCAGAAGTGAAGCAGCAGCAGGGAGCCAAACAGCAGAGAAGTTTTTTATAGTTCTACCACTGACTGAACAAGTCAAACCAGACTAGGAACTGCCGCTGAAGGATTCTCTGCTCCAGAAACACTTCAGTTCAGCTCTGCAGGAACAGTCCAGTTCAGCTCCTCCAGGAACAGTCCAGTTGAGCCCTCCAGAACCTTAAGCTTTTTTTTTCTAGTATCTCCAACAGTTTGGACTTCCTGGGTTGGATTCCTGATAGCACTCCTCCCCCTCCCTTCCTGCAGCTGGATGTGCTTTCAGCAGGGCAGAAGAGAAGCAGAACCAGCAGCAGCTGAGACTGAACTGAGCTACAAGGATCACAGTAAGTCTTCTGTTTCCTTCAGCTTCGTCATTGTCTTCCCCAGAGGATTGGAGTCTGACTCGATGAATGAAAGCTGCTGCTGTTCTGTGGAGTGTCTGCTTTTAAAAAAGAATCTCTCTTCACTTCAAGGTGAATGAAACTTCTCTGGAGCATCTTCTTGAGTTAATTCAGGAGATTTACTGAGCTCAGGCTGATCATCAACATCGGGTTTAGTTGGAGACAAACCTCCATTAACTTCTTCATTACCTCGTGAAAGAATCAAGAAGGGGGAGAAACTGTTTAACTGATTACATTAAATCTCTGCTTTTATTAACTTATTCCGGATCAGGATTCTTTAATGAATCTGACTATCTTGTTTTTGTCTCCTGAGCCTTTGGTGTCTGGTTGAAACCAATCTCCTGGAGTTCAGAAAAGGATCTGCATATAAACTATAAATCTGCTCCTTTACTGGAGCTGATGGTAAATACATGGCTGATGGTGGCCATAAAAGCCTACTGATTAAGCTGGTTACTGATTAATACTTGCAGGTCTTAAAACATGGACCTGCTCAGGTAGAACTGATACTGCTGCTACCAACTGTCTGCCAGCGTGTCATGGTTTTGGTTCAGTTGTGCTTTACTTTGCTTTGGTTTAATTCCTATTTTGTTGTAGTTTCTAGATTTATGTTCTCTGGTTTTTCAGTTGTTTTCTTTTGTTGCCCTCTTGTGTGTTCCTTTCCCCTTGGCTCCCCCGTTGTCTCCTCTCACACCTGCTCCTTGTCAGCTCGTTAGCCCTGTTTTTGTCTCAGTCAGCTACATATACTCTCCCTCTGCTGTCACTCTTTGTTGGTTCCTTGTTGTTGCTGGTCCTGTCGTCGCTGTTCTCTGCTCACCTCGTCTCTCCCTGGCTCCTTGTGCATGTTTCCCCCTGATGTCTTTATGGTTCTGGTCTGTGTTACATTTTAGTTGGATTCCTGCCTTTAACTGCTTTCATCATTAAAACTACAAGAAATCCCCTCAGCCTCTCTGCCTCTGCATTTGGGTCTAAACCTCAACCTAAACGTGACACAGCGGGTCCAAAAGAAAGAGAAATGGATGATCTAGAATCTGTTCATTCTTGTTTTAGGTTTTCCAAATAAAACAAATGTCAAAAGGTTCAAATATCCATCACATGGATGGAAGCAGCAGATATCAGCCACATACTTTCATTTTTCTGTTTAACAGCAGGTTTTTAGCTGAGCTATGAAACCACAGAGTGTCGACACGTACAAGGTTTTCAAAGGAGAGCGGACGAGAAAAACCGAGGGCTACATATGAGCCCAAAAGTACACAAATAAAGCTAATCAGAGTCACAAACTTAGAAGTTCAGAACATCCATTATTGACGCTTTTAAAGGGACATCAGATTTTATTTTATAAAAGAAATAGACATTTGTTTCTTCAGGTTTGTTATTAAAAAGGTTTTATTTCCATGAAAGAATTCAGGAAATGTGAAAAATAAAACTTTGAAAACTGAGCTGAAAGTTGACGATCTATTTGGACAGTCCAGTTCTGGTCTTAGTGCTTCAAACTACATCAAAAGAGGAAGAGGAGGAGGAGGAGGGTTCAGGGCTGTCTAGATGCGTGGAGGCCTTACAAACTAGGGCTGTAACTAATGATTATTTAGCTGATCGATTAATCTGTCAAATATTTTTCCAATTAATAATCATATTACAAAAAAAGGTTCCTTGAAGATTTTTTACAGAATTAAACCAAATGAAACTAAAACTTTACCTCTCCAATTCAATTTTGTTTAAATATATATTTAGTGCCAAATCACAGCTCATGTCATTTGAAGGCACTTTACAGAGATAATTAACCCAGATCATCCAATCAGATTGATTTCAAAGTTTTCTATCTAAGGAAAACTAGATGATTGCATCGACTCATTGACTCAACAGCAATCCCTCAAGCTAGTGACGGTGGAAAGGAAAAACTCCCTTTCAATAGGAACAATCCTCCAGTAGAACCAAGCTGACTGGAGTTCAAGGAGACAGAAACAAAGATACAAAAGGCAACTGATATTTAGCTCCACAGGCGGACCCGTCAAGGAAACACACAGCCAGACAGATAAGCTCCCAGCCAGCTCTTATGTCAGGATTAAAGAAAGCACATACAATTATTCACAGTCAGAGAAACAGGATTACACTGAAAAACAGGCATAGCTCCAACATCTATAAACAAAGGTGTTGATGACAGAAGCTCAGCTGATATTTCTCTCCAGGATGGTGTCACAGCCAAACAGGAACAAACCAGATGAAGCTCTTTAGGAACTCTGGATAGAGCATATTGACAGACAAAAGATGTTAAATATTCATATACATTTTTATAATTACTGCTCTAAGACTGTTGCTCTGTCAGATAAAGGCATGTTTAAAGAAGTTAAAGATAAATCGATTAATAAATAATTTGACAATTATTTCAATAATCAAATAATTATGATTAATTGTTTTAGCTCTATTACAAAGTAAAGGGATTACAGTAAAATCTGAGATTCATCCAGACTGCTGTGTCTTTTCTCACTGGAGAATGACAACAGATCTTACCCGTTCAGATTGAAGTAATCTATGGTCCAGTTCGGAGCAGCCTTGTTCCTCTGATGATTTTCAGAACAGCTTGCTTTAAATGAGCCGATCCAATGCTACTTTACCCACAACCCGTCGGTCAGTCCAATTCAGGCTTCATGGATGCTGGAAGGAGGAGAATCTCAAACACCGAAAATCATCAGAAACCTTCAGTAGAACCTCCTAAGCATCCAGTAGAACCTCCTCCGCCTCCAGTAGAACCTCCTAAGCATCCAGTAGAACCTCCTCCGCCTCCAGTAGAACCTCCTAAGCATCCAGTAGAACCTCCTCCGCCTCCAGTAGAACCTCCTAAGCATCCAGTAGAACCTCCTCCGCATCCAGTAGAACCTCCTAAGCATCCAGTAGAACCTCCTCCGCATCCAGTAGAACCTCCTAAGCATCCAGTAGAACCTCCTAAGCATCCAGTAGAACCTCCTCCGCATCCAGTAGAACCTCCTAAGCATCCAGTAGAACCTCCTCCGCATCCAGTAGAACCTCCTAAGCATCCAGTAGAACCTCCTAGGCATCCAGTAGAACTTCCTCTGCATCCAGTGGAACCTCCTAAGCATCCAGTAGAACCTCCTAGGCATCCAGTAGAACTTCCTCTGCATCCAGTGGAACCTCCTAAGCATCCAGTAGAACACAGGTGTCAAACTGGTTCCAGAAAGGGCCGTGTGGCTGCAGGTTTTCTTTCCAACCAAACAATAGCACACCAGACTCCAGTCATCCCATCAAGTCATCGTGTTCAGATTGGACTCCCTTGATTAGATGAATGAAGTCTGGTGTGCTATTGCTTGGTTGGAAAGAAAACCTGCAGCCACACGGCCCTTTCTGGAACCAGTTTGACACTCCTGCAGTAGAACCTCCTCAGCATCCAGTAGAACCCTCTCTTGTTGGTACAGTACCAGCACGGCTATGTTCTGACCTGAGGCCATATTAGTTCAAATGACTCAGAATGTTTAAAGGTCAGAAACATCAAACATTCCAAGTGAACTCTGTGAACTTTCAATCCAGCTCAATTGCTGTGATGACAGGAACCAGTCCAACCAGCTTGTTGACAAACTGATGGGACCAATAATTTTCAGCTCCAAGGTATAAAGGGCAGAAATGTGTGACGATAAAGACTGAATGGTTCCACCTGCCTCTAAATGAGCTGTTGGTTCTGAAAGGAGGAGCCGCTTCCTGCCAAAGCAGCGCTCAGAATCATCCACCATAGAACCACCACCCTCCGTCTGAAGATGCAGACACTGCTTTCTCTACAGGTTATATACCTAGAAGAAGAAGGAGATCCTCGGTGGGAGAGGTCCTAAAGCCCTCCATCTGTTGTTTGGTCCAGGATGTGATGGTTGAACATCTGATGATCTTCAGGCAACAGAATAATCCCTGCCCTGCATTGTTTTCTGTAAAGAAGACTGAAGATTAGCCTGGTTGTGGTTTTTAGATGTTGTAGGAAATGATCCACAGATGTATGCAGGAGAATCTCTCAGCAGCTTAGCTATATCATAACACCCCCCTTAATGTTAAAGACCCTGCAGACCTTTAGGGGCCTCCAGGTCTGGACTGTAACCAGATCCCTGGGGGTTTTCATCTTCTCTGTGTGATGTCCCAGCAGCTTTTATCCTGCCTGTCCTTATTTTTCTCTGCGGTCTCCAGGAATGTGCTATGTGTGCAGAGGCAGGCAGCAGTAGGCCTGCATGAAATTAACCTGTGGTTGTGGAGCAGGACCGTGGGGGAAATTTGGAACTAAAAACTGCCTTAATGGTCCACTTTGTTGTTGTTGGTGTGTTCTAGGTTCTGCTCTTCCTTCCAAAATCAAAAATAAAAGATGGTGGCAAAAAGCATCAACATGAACTCTGGGGGCGTCCGCCGCTGGAGCCCTTTCAGCAGCATCAAGGTCAGTCTGGTTCAGATTACATCTCTAATGGGCTTGACCCTGCATTAAAAGAAATGTGATTCAACGGCTTTTAAATGTATGTCTCTGCTTCTGAAAACATGCCTGCATTGGTTTCTCAGGTGCTGCTAAACATAAGATTCACTGTTTAGAAAGAAACGCTGTCAATCACACTCAAACCTTTCTGACTGAAGTAGAATCTTTCTGTCTCTTAAAAGCCAGACTAAGTATATCATTAATTAAAAACTTATTTCAGCAAAAACAAAAGTTTACGCAAAAGCTACAATTAAGAGATCTTTGAACAACTTAACAAAGCAATGATGATGTCATATTTTTCTAAACCTCTGATTGGTTCATTCACAACATTTCAGTTAAAAGTGGGGAAACCTGTTATTGTCAGTTAAAAGAGTCATTATCTGGTATTTTACATGTGTAATACTTCTAAAAATGTATTTAAATTCATGTTTAATAATTTGAGGAGAATACTGAGCTCATTATGGCCCAATTTCATTACCTTTGTTTGATTATTTGACTCATAAGTATGCATGTTAATGTTAACCAGGTTTCATTTTCTGTCATTTCCAAGTGTATTACACAATACTTAAGAAATACACTAGCAGAAACACTGACACGCTGCCTGCAGTGAGCCCCTGATTGGTGGAATAGGGAGGGGAGTGTCATAGTAAGGAGGGCCAATGTTAGCATCCTTCCAGGTTTTATGTAGCTCAATGGGTCAGACCAAAATCACACTTTGTGGAGAACTCAGCCTTGTGAACTTTTCTGCTTTGAACAAAGTGCCAAAAGAAAAAGTAAAAGGCACCTTCTAATGGGGTTGCTCTGTGGCATTGTCTTCCACCATAAAAACATGTACTTAGGGACACAGTCCTTTATTCTGGCAGTCATTTCTTCAGGGGCAGAGCTTCATTTGAGAAATCATGTCCAATTATCTGATAAAACTGAGGTGTTTGGTTCTGTTTGAAGGAAAAAGCCAGAGAAAATCATCCCTTGTAGCAGCAACCTGTTGTGTTGGTGTTTGCTGCTGATCAGATTTATATTAAAAACATAAATAAAAGACATGGACCATGTTTGCACACCGCATGTTTTTAAATATCATGTATGTAAATAATTTGTTTAAAGGGATGATGTGTAACTTATTTGGCTTTAAGTAAGCAAAAACCAAGAATTGCTTTACAATATACATGTTCTTCTGAAGACTAATAACATTCCATTTTAAATGAAAGCATACTTTTAGTTTTGAATTAAGAGTTCATAAATATGTCCAGGTGAACACACTGGAGGGTTCCATATTGGGGCGTCTCTACTTGATTAAATTTGCTGAAACGGGACAAATATGTCAGCAAACATGTTTTATATCTATGTGATAGGATAAAACCAGAGTCTATATTGCCATAGTTTTTTCTAAAGAGAATGGTGCTTTAGAAGCAGAAGTTGGGAGCTTTGTGCTGCACAGGTAAGTTTATGGATTCAGTATAACAGTGAAAAGAAATTTCTGTCTTATGCTGAAGATATGTGAAAGCATGTTTTTCCTCGGCCTATTTGTGAGATGAAATATTTAGATTGTGCTTTTTCTTGGCGTAATAGGAGTAGGTTTAGAAAAATATTGTATCAGCATCCATGCTGTAATGTTTAAGGTAGGGGTAACATAAAGCAGTGGCCTCCTTCCTCTAGACTAGGGTGAAATATAGACAACATGCCCTCTAAGGTGCTTAAGGCTCCCTCATGCCATGGACACAAGACAGTTGTTGTGTTTATCTGGCCAGTGGACCTAACAGGGAATGTCCTTGATGAACTGAAGTTGTTTTCCTCCAAATGTTCATGTGTGAGAAAGTTCTTTATGCAGAGGTGAGATGGTCCCAAGAGTGTCTTGGGATTTTTACAGTATAAATGTGTGTCCTGGGCTCTATCTCTCCGTCTAAGGATGTTAAATAAATTTGAACTCTTACAAAAAATGCCTCTATCAGTTTCTCCACAACTTCACAAATAGCTCAGTGTGGTCACGTGACATTTTCCTCGTGACAGCCTGTCAGGTTTATTCAATGGTGATTATAAAATGAATGTGTGCTTATAGACCATTTGTGCAAGGGGGATGCTGCACTGTGTCTTGTGATGCAGTCAGGAGACCATCCTGCCTTGTCATTCTGATGGAGCATCTTGTCTTTATGAACTGATCAATTGTTCTGTCAGAACAAATACTGTTTTGAACCCATGTGCTATGTTCTGTTAATAAAAGATGGCTACAGGAGAGGATTAGGAGAAAGAAAGCTTGAAGTTGGGTTGGGCTTTTTCTTTCCGCTCCTGCAGAAGCTGCTTGAATCTCTTTCCTGTGTATACTCAATTTCTATTCTCAATTTCTATTTTTTTTTTACAAACCTACATTTCCTGAATCTAACACAGCCGTATTTTCCAAGATATATTTTCATACATTTTTCATAGTGCAGCTCAGAACATGTTTCCGTCACAGAGAAATGTTGTTCTGCGGTCGCACATGGTACCATATGTAGGACCTTTTATAACTTATTGCAATCAATAACAACGTTCTTTACTTCATCTCCCACCTAGACACTTAAAATTGTGCAGAAGGTTGACAACCCCAATTCTATGACACTCCACGGCTTCCGTCATTGGTACCACCGCAAGGTTTTTTGTAATTCATTTTAACACCAGGTGGTGCACGAGTGTGAAAATCTTACACCCAAAGGCATTAAATACCTGCTTCCATTCCTCATTGAGCTTTCTTTGTTCTGTGTGAGGTGGAATAAAACATCCACAGTTTTCTAACACTTCACAACAGGATATGTTTTGCTCAGATTTCTTCCATATTGGAGAGTAATCTGATTAAGGTTCACTGCGCGGTTTAGTCTATGAGGAATTCAAAGGCATCATATCCTCAGTTAAACTAGTCATTAGAATGGTCAGATGGCAGTTGGTTGCAAATTCGACCAAACTTGTTAGTAAACCAAACAACACAGAGGAGGTTGAACACCAAACAATGAATTAGAAGAGGACCAGAAGCTCAACCCAAAAGGTACTCGATTGTTCTGAGCTTAGCTCAGGGATTGTTCTCATTGGGTCAGACTTGAATGTTTTTGGTTAATGACCCAAATGAGCTCAGTTAGGATGAATCCAGTTCCTCTCGTAGTTGTTTATACGTGATCTAACCCTTCATCCTATCTCTTTTCCTTCCAAGCTATCAGTCTTTCCTGGTTTACAGACTGAGGATTTGTTCAGACAGAGGACAAAAGTTGCCATGTTGATTCCTCCTCTGTTCACAGCCTTCCTCCTGTCTGTCTCTACAGGTATTTGTGTTCTGCCACAGTTTTCTGCAGCTGGCTCAGCTTTTAGTCTCTGGTTTCATGAAGAGCTCCATCTCCACCATTGAAAGACGCTACGGCCTATCCAGCCAGAAGTCAGGGATCCTGGCTGCCTTCAACGAGGTCAGTTCAGCAGCTTCATCTGTGATTCTCTTTGGTTATCTCACAGTAGATCTGCTTTTTGTGACCAATTTTACTAGAACAAAACCAAACAAAAAGTTGGTGCTCAAAGAAAATACTGACTTACTCTACACTTTTCAGGTTATATTTTCAGCAATGTATATATCAATGCTTTACCAAAACTCCCCTTTGTCTTGTTCTAGCACATGAAACCATAACAAACAAGCACATTATAAAACGTGGAGTTTAAGAGGTCAAGAGAAAAGTCTTTCTTTTGTTTATTCTCAAGCATGTCTTTAATACTGCTGTTCAAAAAATACCTATTATTTTTTGGAATAAAGCTAAGATCTTTCAGTCATGTTTGAACTGATGCAGCTTGGGCTGTGTTTTACTCTCCAAATGTTATATCTATATTGTCAGAATCTAGAAGGCGTTAGCTTTCAAATGATGTATCACACATAAAATATGGGCTTACTGTACAGTTCCGCAGTTGTTTGCTTTTCCAATTTGGTATAGAAAATAGGCAAGGATTACTTCAAAATGAGATGGATGTGAAGAGGTTAACAGCTGTAGTATGTCACAACCAAACTAGGAACAAAACTGGACTGACGTCTAAACCCTCAGTTGCATCAACCTTGTGAAAATGCATAAGGATTTAAAAAGAACATTTGAACACTGCACTGAATTTTCATACCTTACTGCAGTATCACCATCCCCTACCCACACACCTACCTGTCGAGTAGCGCTGGCCTATGGCGACAGCGGGCTGCTGTGGCAGCAAATCCTATAATATTTTGCAAGGAGACCTCTCCGCGCAAAGCATTCCGGGACATATCTGCCTCTTCTGAGGCCGTTGTTTTCTTCTCATAAACTTTGTAGACATTTTTTCTCTTACAACCTTCTGCCATTTTCAAAGAACTGCGGTGAGAAAGGTGAGCTTCAATGACTGTCTGAAAGCGTATCTCACCACAGATATACGCCTGAAAGTGCGCATGCAGAGAAAAAGATAGCTAATGGAACGAGCACGTAGGACAATCTAACATAAATATATCACCAGAATGACTGACAATTAGGTGGACCACTTATTTTGATGATCCACAATACGTGGTCACAGTATGTGATGAAACAAAACTGTCTGGGATTTACGCAGAAAATCGGCTGAGTTTAAACACGACGTTTATGATTTAAAAACATACAAACTGTTAAGAGTATTGGCTGTCTTTTTCATGGCCTTCGCTACAAACCAAAATCACTCTTTTCTCAGAAATGGATGTTTTTATCTGTTATCTCTATTTGTGTTCTGCAGAACTGATCCTGATTTTGTTTTGGCAAGTCAAATCTCTGTCAGGTAATGATGCTGGATCTTCCTGTCTTTCACTGGTTTCTCTCTTCCTGTATCCAGGTGGGGAACACTGTTCTGATCATCTTTGTGAGCTTCCTGGGAAGTCGTGTTCATCGTCCGCGGTTCATCGGTGGCGGTGCTCTGCTGGCATGTTTGGCCTCGCTGCTTATGGCACTGCCCCACTTCCTGAGTGATGAGTACGACTACACAAATCGAATCAGATGTAAGACCTCATGCTTCTGCAAGATTCCTCCCGCCGTTCAACAAAAAAAACTGTTTGGTTTGTTGCTCTAAGATAATCTCACTTGTTTCCCAACAGCCTCCACTGATAACAGCTCAGGCCTCTGCGGTACATCCTCCTCCTCCAACCAAACATGTCTCGAGCAAGACAGCCCCGCCCAACAGATGGTCTACCCTCTGCTGCTTCTGGGTCAACTGCTACTGGGCATTGGAGCCGTCCCTATCCAGCCCTTCGGCATCTCCTACATCGATGACTATGCCAGTAGGAAGAACTCTCCGCTCTACCTTGGTAGGACACAGCAAATAAATCAACAAAGTTTAAACTCAGTCATACTTTATCATGTAGCTGCTCTTTAAATATAACAAGGTAGTGAGCTTCACAGCTTGTCTGGATCAGTGAAGAAAACAATGATGAATCATACATCTCTGTTCAACACTTTACTAATAGCTAGAACCAGAACTCTCTGCCATGTTCAGTGTTTGACAAACAGAAACACTGCTAAATGAGACTAATCAGAAAATGTTCCTTTATTTAGCTAAGGTGGCATAAAAGGTTGGCCTATGAAGCAATGGGAGGTTCAGATGTGAGAATTTGGTTTAGACAGTGTGGTATAAAGTGATGCCCTCATCTTGTCTAGTTCCTCTGGGGCCTAGTGATGATTTGATGTTTCAGTACTTCATGTCATTCCTCTTCACTGTTGTGAACCTAACAATTGAGGTCTGATGGCCCAAAGATACTGAATGACCAGGTTAGTCCATCATTTTATTCCTGGGATGATATACACACTATACACTAAAAAGTTTTCATACATACTACTGAACAGCTTTCATATAAACTACTAAAAAGCTTTCATATACACTACTGAAAATCTTTCATACATTCTACTGAAAAGTTTTCATATACACTACTAAAACACTTTTATACATACTACTGAACAGCTTTCATATACACTACTGAAAAGCTTTGTTACATACTACTGAAAAGTTATTTGCGGATTTCAGTTGAAACGGAAGGCATTTCAGTAAAACAGGAGGAATATCATTAAACTGGAAGTTGTTTTAAACAGGGGTCAGTTTGGTTAGCTCCGTACATGTGTTATATAGCCTACTCAAAAGCTCTTATACAAAGTAGTGAGAACTGTTTATATAAACTGGTGAAAAGCTTTACCTTTCATAAACACTACTGAAAAGCTTTCATACTGTACATACTACTTAAAAGCTTTTATATACACTATCAAAAGGCTTTCATATACATCACTAAAAAGATTTCATATACACTACTGAAAAGCTTTCATACTGTACATACTACTTAAAAGCTTTTATATACACTATCAAAAGGCTTTCATATACATCACTAAAAAGATTTCATAAACACTACTGAAAAGCTTTCATACTGTACATACTACTTAAAAGCTTTTATATACACTATCAAAAGGCTTTCATATACATCACTAAAAAGATTTCATATACACTACTGAAAAGCTATTTGAGGATTTTAGTAGTAATGGAAGGTATTTCAGTGAAACACGAAGGAATGTCATTAAACCGGAAGTTGTTTTAAACAGAGGTCCTTTTGGATAGATTTTGTGCAATCTCCAGCAGAAATTTTATCAAATGAAATTATTGATTATTACTCAGCTATCAGCTGGCCGCCACACAGAAGCATGGGCATTACTCAACTTTATTAATTTTCTTTGCTTCAATGGAGATCCTGCTCCAGTGATGTGCTAAATTCTGTTCCCCTATGAAAATCTGTTCCCCCTGTGTCGCGAGCACACATTGCATCCATAGAAGCGGTTCTGATCATTCTCCAGGCGCCTCTCATCATTTCTCTGAAAAAACAGCTAGTATAATCATGTCAAGGTTCAAACATTTTGTTTAATCGGAAGCTGGTGTTTACAAAATTGTAAAATCAAAAAATAAACAAGGTCTTCTTACGCTGTTTAACGATCTTTTTCCAACTTTTGAAACTTAAGCCTTACAGAAATAAAAATCAGTCACCAAACGCAGATTTCCAACCCGTAGTGTCTATTTATAATTTTTCATCACAGATATAAGAGGATGGAAACTTGCTGAGAGTTGGGCACAAAAATAAATACTTCCTGCAAAAATGAGAGTGTAGACTTTCTGCTTAATCCTGTTGTAAAATATGACAGATTACTGCATTAAGGAACTTTCTAGTATACTACATGCTATCACACATAACATTTTTTGAGAATTTGGAAACAGTTGCTCTTTATTTCCCAAAGATATATGAGGAGGAGAGGAGAGAATTGATATTTCAGCTGCCTGAAATAATCCGTTCCCCCTCCATAACATCGGAACAAATGAATTTAGCTGCAACTCTTTATCTGTGTTTATTGCTCTCTTCATCAACAACAAACCCTCTGGATTTGGTGACATTTGATCAATAGTTGCCTAAACTAAAGGAAGGGAACCATGTATTTTAGCTGATTGAAATAATCCGTTCCCTCTACATAACATGGGAACAAATAAACAAATGCTATGAATTTGGAAGTTGTCATTATTTTTCTATATAACATTTGAAACATTTATTATTTGACATTTTGAAATCAAAAATTGTTAAATAAATATGACTGTTGGTTTGATGACCTTTATGGAATGTATTTTCTGTTTAAATGTTTATCTAACAATTTAGTGGACTTTGTTTCTCAAGATTGAAGACATTTTACATCCCATCCAGAAAGCTTGCTTTGAAATTAGAAAGGGATGGGAAGCAAAACATCTTCAGACTTGGAAAACAAAGTCCACTGGTTTGATTTAAAGTTATTTTGGGAATGACAGTGACCTGAGAATCTTCAGCAGCTATTTGCAAATATTTTTGCAGATATTACATCTAACAATGTACCTTACAATATAAATACATACAGTGTAAAGTCACAAATCCCATGATGCTGAAAGGGCTTCTGTTTTAACTGAAATTTGCAAATAGCTCTTCAGTAGTGTATATGAAAGCTTTTCACTAGTATGTATGAAAGGTAAAGCTTTTCACCAGTGTATATGAACAATTCTCACTACTTTGTATGAGAGATTTTGAGTAGGTTATATAAAAGGTAAATGTTTTCACTAGTTTACGTAAGAGCTTTTCACTAGCATTTATGCACATTTTCAGTATATTATATGGAAGAGTTAACTTTAATATGTTTATATGGAAGTTAATTCTGAATTATGTCCCGGGGGCACCTCATAACCCGCTGTTACAGCGGAACTCACCCAGAGGTTGTACTCTGTCAGCCAATGACTGAAAAAAGTGTGTCTTTTACTTCTTATGACCCCGTCTAGTCACTGCTGAGACTAGACGGGTCTCTGCGGAGGAATTACCCAGTTCACTCATCATTACTTTACTGGCCCTCTGTCATTTAAGGAGTAAGTCAGAATTGCTGCTTGTTACCAGAGGGGCAGGCTCACCCTGACATGGTGATTGATCAGTCAGTTCCCATTTTTTTTTCACTCCAGTTAAAGTTAATTTATACAGCAACAATTCACAAGACTTTATCTCATCGCACGTAATCATGGAAAACCCGACAGATTGCATCGAGTCTTTGATTCACAGAATTCCCTCCTGGATGAGCCACAGTTGCTGGTCGCTCCAGTGTGGTGGCTTTTGAAGCAATCCCTCTGACTCTAACTTGACTTCACAGTTGTGAGAACAAACACCCAGCAGGGCTCCTCATGGTTTCCATTCCTGTTTTCTGGATCATAGCTCAAACTAGATATCCTTAAACATTTTGGACACCTCAGAAAGGCTATTATCTTACCTGAGTGAGAAATAACACCGTGTGTTATCATAACGACCCAGAGGCTGGTAGGAATGCTAACAGTTTGGTGGCAGATGGTAACTGAGCCCCTTTGTGTAAGAAGGTGTAGATATCAACCTGAGAGGTGATTAACACATTGTCCCAACGTCACAAAGAAAGTTCCCCATTATAAGGAGGAACAGGACATTCCTGAATGCGTCAATCAAGTCGAGAAGTAACTGCAATGAAAGGACTGCTGGAGGAACTCTAGTCTCCTGAGAGCAGGAATAGATTTTACTGACAGAGCAGGCTGCTCCTTCTCTGCAGCTTCTCTGCTTATATAACTGACCTACTTTAGCCGGTTTCCTGGAACTGAATCTGATCCTCAGAGGAAACTGTGCTAAAACTGTGTTGCACATTTCACTCCTTCACTCCTGCGTGGTCATTTTGTTGAAATATCTTAGACACTTTCAGAGAAATGCTAGTGTTCTAATGCTTTCTAAGCACATTTATGAAACACTTGGTGATTAATACTTTCTGCAGAAATGTTGAACTTCTTATTTTTCTGTTTCATGTGTTTCTTAAAATACAGAAAAAGAACAAGCAGTTTAGTGAAAGCACTGTGATGTAGAAATACTTTTTTTTTTTTGCTCTGAGTGCAGAAAGCAAATGAGGAAGTCGTCTAGATCTTTAGGTGCGGTCCGAACTCCCTTAGGCGGCTTTATCAGATACTATCAACACAGCAATGAAGTTATCTTAAACAGTACAGACCAAAGCACAGAACCACGAGGAACTCCGGAAATAATACCTATCTCTGAAAAAATTACGTTTCTAAGCATTCAACTGCTAGGTCTTAAAGGTATAGAGGAGGATGTACTTTTTCCAGGTGGATCATCAAAATAAGTGGTCCTCCTAACTGTCAATCATTTTGGTGATATGTTTATCTAAGACCGTCCCCATTTTCACTTACCGGTGGTGAGTCTGACATAGTGGAAAAATTGCAAATCTTCTTTTGGAAAGTAAGCTTGTATGAACGATGCAAACAGCAAATTTGAAACACAGCGTGGCCTCATGCCTCTCGCACACGTTTAATAGGTGTTCCCTCTCAGGAGCGGGTACAGGGTTGTCCGTGTGCATCTCTTTTTTTTAGAGTGGAGAGGGTGGGTCTTTAAAAAAAAAAAAAGGGGAAATCCTCCACTATATCTTTAAAAAATTAAGGCATGTTGTTACATATAGGGGATGGAAGAGGAAAAAAGTTTGGTTTTTAACAGGAACATTTTGTTCTTATGTCAATGTAGCTTGTTTTATTCGACTAATAGGAGAGAAAAGGTTATGTTTTAATCAATAAATTGAAAAACACCAGGATAGTGAGAGATTTTTTAGATATTTGTAAGTTGGATTCAATGTAGACATTGAAACAGTCACTGTGTCTTTTAGCAGCTTCTGACAGACTAGATCATGATTGCTGAATCAGCCTCTGTTTATCAAAATTATCACTATTTGAGGGGAAACATCAACTAGCGATAAGAACCATGGAACTCCTGATCATTGGGTCTGAAGGTTCCATGTTCTGCTCCAACATGAGTATAAGAACTTTCCCAATCCACATATGGTCCAGAGATGTACTGAAGTGTTAGAACAGGAGGGAAGAGGACACCATGCCAGCCTTTGAGCAGAGATGGCAAAAGTACTCACTTTCCGTACTTGAGTAAAAGTACAGATACTTGTGTTAAAAAATACTCTGGTAAAAGTGGAAGTACTGATTAAACTTCTTTACTCAAGTAAAAGTAACAAAGTACAGGCTTGTAAATTTACTTAAAGTATAAAAGTAAAAGTAGAAACCACTTTTTTCATGCCGTTGCCTACATTTTAAATGGATGTCTGCCAATAGGACTAGATCTCCGTTGTGTTCATTTTTAATCATCTCGTCGTCCATACTACTATGCTAACGCCACCGCCACCAAGCTGCAATGATTTGCCGCCAATGAATACCGCAGAATCTGTCGATTCATCTTGTAGTGGTGCGTCAAATGCAATGTAGATTCCCATCCAATTAGATTGAATTTGGTATTGATGACGTGAAAAATAATAACGGTAACTCCATTGAAATGATTCAAAACTAAAGTAACGAGCCAATTTTTTAAAATGTAAGGAGTAGAAAGTACAGATATTTGTGTAAAATGTAAGGAGTAGAAGTAAAAAGTCGCCATAAAAATAAGTAGTAAAGTAAAGTAAAAATATCAGAAAAATCTACTTGAGTACAGTAACGAAGTATTTGTACTTCGTTACTTCCCATCTCTGCCTTTGAGGCATGGTGTTGGCAGTGTCATGCTGCTGCTGGGCTTTCCATCTGGAAAGAGGGACTGATGCATTTCCAAAGAGAAGACTTCATGAAGTGAGGAAATCATATGAAAACACTGAAGCATCATGTCAAGGAACTGGAAGGTTGAACTTTTGAGACAGCTGCATCTTCTAAGTGTCCCTCAGTGTGCATCATAAGCTGTGAACTTTTAAACCCTGCGGTTTCGTCGTACAGTTTTAGCTGTAGCTGAGTACAATCATTGAAAATATCGCACAGTTTATGCCCGGCTTAAACAAACAGCAATAGGAAAGATTTAATGTCAGAAAGATGCTCTTTGTGTGATTAAAGGATAAATATCTTCCTTGCATGTTCTTTCTTTTCCTTATCTCTGTTTTTGTTGTTGTTTCAAATCTTTTTCTGTTGCGTCTTCCAGGCATCCTCCTCGCTGTGACCTCCATCGGCCCGGCCTTCGGCTTCATCACCGGCTCCTTCATCCTCAAGCTATATGTTGACTTTGACAAACTGTCAAAAGGTGAGCAAACAATCTACAGCAGTGACGGCTCCCAGCTGGACCAAAATGATGATGTTTATAAATGTGGCAGAGGAATGGGGAGGATATATTGCTTAAAGCAGGGTTTTAAAGTGAAAGCACTTAGTGGGTAATTTCCTTTAGAAATACGAATGTTGCACAAAGTGTTGCACAAAATGTTAAAGATAGACTAAACTTAGATGATTCATAGTGAAGTGTTTGCACTTTATTTGACCTTGTATTCAAAGTCAAAGTGATTTTCTAGTGTTTTCTATTTCTACAGAAAACCAGCCATGTTTCTTATTTTTACCAAGGGACACATGAAACTACCCACGGAGGGGAGGGGGCGTCATTGTTCTCAGCCAAAGAGAATCTCTTTTCAGCATTAAGTTATTATGAAGGAGCCATGACCTCTGTCCTTCACTCTTCGTCCAAGAATTTCTAAAGTAAACAGAAACTTCCCATAATAATGTCACAATGTTGTTCAAAGAGTCAAACAGGCTCATATGAGCAACACTGAGGCCTTAGAGTTCTTGCAAGACAAGCTGCTAATATCTGAACAGCAATCAGTCGTTCTGATTGGTTCATTTGAGACATTTATCAAAACCACTTTGATAACAGAGACAGATCTTTATGTCTGTCGTATTTTAATTTTCTTACTAGTTTTGGTAAACGGTTGTCTTGGGATGTGATTTTTATTTGATGGTCAAACTGGTGAAACTTTTACTTTCTGCAGTAGGTGTCTCTTCGGTTCCATATGGTAAATACCTCTTTAATAAATCAGTCAATACATTAATGAGTCAAACCCAGTCATACACAAAACATGAGCACCTTGATTTCCTTTTTTTCGAAAAGCTTTGTCAGGTTTTGCTTGGTTCTGAACTTAAGTTTATATATCAAGATATTAGAAAACATTACATAACCTTAACCAGGCTCACTTTTTTCTGCAACAGTTTTGAATTTCATAATATGGGTCAGTTTTGGGCAGCCACTACATTAATGGAAGACAAACACCATGGACAAGATTTATCAATTATTATTTCAGTGTTGGACTTAATTATAAACAAATCATCATATGATATCATTCTTGCTCCTCTGTGTGCTAAAATATTATGTCCACATTTGATTGCGGAGACATAGGAATTAGAATAGGTTTTATTATAGGTGCTGTTTATGTTTTCCTAGATGTTGATAACATTTGATGAGTAACATCTGGAGGGTTTCTGCTGTCATCTTGAAATGAAAGTATGACCTAAAAACAGATGGTTTTATTTTGGTAATTATTGAGACTAAGAGAAAATAAAAAAGGCATGTTTAGATTAGTCACATTTAAATGGAAAAAGAGAACATTTTCAGAACATAGAGGAACAAGATTGACATCAGCTAACTCCAGTAAAAAACATAAAACCAAATGATTTCAAAGGTCCAAGCAAGAATCAAAGGCATTTTTTATGATGTATGCAATGTCATCTAAACCCCGTGAGGGCTGGATCAGCTGCAGTTACGAAATCTGGGTCTTCTAATTTTCTTTCATTTGTTCCAAGCTTGAAATAAAAGTCTGTAAACTTCCACAGAGGTGTAAGTCTTCCATTGCCGTAGGGGTTTATTGTGTGTCCCATGCAACATTTCAAAGATTATGGAGGATGTTGCAAAATGAAGTCAGGATACATATAAATTTGATTCCAACATATTTTTTGGAGGGTTTAATAAACTGATTTTACTGTCCTTTCATTAGATCGGAACTCTGGATGAGATCTGCCATCTCTGTTATTAGAGCGGTTGAGAAAGCAGTCTGATGTGAAGAGTGCATGCCAAAAGTTTGACGTCTTCCGAATTTATGTCTCTCAAGTTACTTTGTGGACCTGTTTGAACAGAGCTTAATTCCTCTGTCTAATGGGTGTGTGTGAGAACGCGCGTGCAAAGTACTTCTGAATACGCATAAAGGTCGGGTCTGTCAACAGAATTGGTTGGCACCGATTCAGTTCAAAGGTACTTTCAGTTGGTGTGTAAAAAATCTGTTTCACGAATCCTAAAGCGAGGCAGTAAATATATTTCCTGAATGATCATATCTTAGTTTATATCTTATCTCTGACTTCTTATCTTATCAAAGAACTCGGCATTGATCTCTGCGGCATGCTTTCTCCCCATATCAGATTGATTAATATTTAGTCACACTGAAGGACAGCAGAGCAAACTTTACTATAGACCTCTAACCTATGAATGATTGAAGAATCACTGATTAATCTTCATCTGGATGAAATCTATGTGTAATTTTCTAGGTGCAGGTTTTGTAACCTGAATTTCGTTTAAAAAGTGAAAACACATTGAGTCATTCATTTTCGCTTTTGTATTCACATGTTACTTTAGTAGCAGGGCTTTTTGAAGCTTGAACTTCATCTTCACTGAATGTTTCTTTAACTTTTCGTATTGAAGAATGAAACAAAACAAAAGGAAAATGTCCTCATAAAACAGGTATAACTATAGGTCCCTGTTCATACACAATGACACGTGCTTGTGTATGAATATACATGTGTTTTCAGGTTGGATTATGAGATTATTTTGTTATTTAGCTCTTTGTTGCCTGAGCTAACAGGGACATTATGGGTAAGCCTTGCTGTGGCAGACATTAAAGTGTCAGTTAGGGATTGGTCACTCTTCCTGTTCTGGTTGTTTAATCACCGTGATGACGAAGGAGCCTGAGTTAGATGTTGGTGATATTTGTTACACCGCCGCAGGTGATTCATACAGACTACTGATGGTGATGGCTTCTCATTCTTGGCCTGATTCAACAAAATTTACAATCCCTTATAGACAGATTGTATTTTAAACTCTAGAAAAGTTCCTTATTCACATCTGCAAAAACCCAAACGACAAAGTTTTAAGTTTAAGGTTTTATCAACTCTTAGTCATTGTGATTGGCCTCGGTTTAAAGGAAATACTCCATTCGGTTCAATGCTTCCCCAGCTTGGTTTGGTTTTAAGGAAATGCATCATTCTCCAAGGCATGTTACATGAGCTAATTCAAGAATCAGCGTTCTTTGGCAGACTCGGTAATGCCTTCCGATGATGCGTTTAAAGTTGTTAGACTGCCGTGTCCAGACTGATCTGTTTCCTCTTTGATGAAAGAACCGCACTGTAAAAACAACAGTATGTTAAGGGAAAGTGCAATTAGCTTCCAGCATATAAGCTCTCCTAGTTTCCTTGTTGTTATGATGTTTTAAAGAGATCTGACCCACATGCAGTAAACCACTCAGACAAACCAGAGTAAAATTTAACAGGTTTATTAGGAGTCCAAATGGGTTGGATTCAGGTGAACTCAGAGGGCTGGTGAACCTGGAACTGGAAGTAAGAGGGGAAGTTCACAGAGGTTAGTTCAGGGTCCGTGGGAACTTTGAACGACATCTTGCAAAAACAGAGGTAAACTGGACTCACGTTTGTGGAGAAAGGTTTCTTCCCAGTATCCAGTCGGTGTGGGTTTTTCCAGAGATAGAGGGGCTCGTTGGAGGGCGGACAGGTTTTGGTTTGGGTGGTTCCTGAGGAGCAATGGAGCGGACTGCCACTTAGATTTCAGGGAGTACTTGAACGGGACGTGTGGAGATAAATCCCCTACTCAGTATGAAGCTCAAACAAATCCTTCCAGGGGGGAGAAGGCCAATAATCCAGTATACAGGATGACCTCCTGCCGAAAGGCAAAAGACAAAAACAACGTTAAAACTAAGAGAGACAAAGACTCAGTTTGACTCAGCTAAACTCAGCTCGGCTAGAGTACCCAAAACTGGCAAACACTCTGGCATCGAGGTAGTGACAGTCCACCGCTCAAATACTCCCCGGTGATGAGCCAACCAGCCGCAGGTGTGCAGAAGGACAAACGAGGACAGGGCACCACCTGGTGGTGGAGGGAGAGAAAAACACTTGTGTTCCTTGTTGAGAGTGCTTGAACCTTAGAGGAAGATCCTTCAGCTGTTAGAGGGTTTAGTCTGACCTTTATGGATTAAAGTTTTTTTATGCTTTTTTTTTTTGCTGCCCTATTTAATTTATTCAATGCAAATTAATAAACTTTGACATTGTTTTAAGCGATTCCAGAACACAAATAAGGTTTTCCTCAACCCAGCCGAGCTTCTGTGACCTTTGAGAGGTTTATTAGGATCTTTCAGAGTTTTTCCATAATGTCTCAGCAAGGAGGGTTTAGACTGCACTAGTAACATACAATCTCAGTAAAGACCTTTTTTATGACGTAAGTTTGGAATCAGTCCTTGTAAAAAAAAAACTGTCTAACAGATCCAGACTTTTCAGACCAGATGAAAAACAGTGAAACTAAGCACAGAAAATGAACCTAATGGAGCAACAGTCCAGAAACAACAGATTGTTCATCATAATAGTTCAGAAAACATTGAGAATCTTTTTTTCCTGTACTCAGTTAACCCGACAGCTTCCTGTGAATTTTCCTACCATAGCATCACTAAAAGAATTCTGTCCTAATCCAACGCAGACCGACTCAACAGCTGTACTGCTGCAGAAACTTGGCCCATGTTCTGACAACAGCTCAGAAGGTGGTCTGGATTCAGCTTGAACTCTGTCAGGACCCGAACCAAAGGAGGCAAACACAGTTGCAGGTGTCTGAAAGACTCCTGAGGCTGGACACCTCACCAGTGGCTGAGTTTAAATCTGTTCATGTTTTCCTCCTGCATACTGGGGTTCTCTGTAGGAATGCTGGCTTCCTCCCCAAGAGCAGTTGGCATGTTGGCTCAGTTCATGTTCCTGGCTGATTGTTTTCTTTGTTGCTCTTCGCTGGAGCAGCAGTCCCTGGGGGTTCAACCGCCTCTTGCCAAATGACGCCTGGAACTCTTGTGACCCAACAAGGATAAGTGAATATAGGCAGCAATTAGGGGGCTGGTGAAGGAAATTCTTATTGTTAAATGTAGCAGTATAGTTAAAACAAGTCCAGTTTAAACAGGCATTTTCCCACAGTAGGAATGAGAAGATTTCAGATCATTTAATTCAGTTTTAAGAGTATTCCAGGCAGCAGGAGCTGCTTCCCAACTATGTCCAAACACAAGAAACTAACCAGACAGATAAATCACATGAGCGGAGAGCATAATGACTACTGTGCATATAGATCACAATGATGGCTGGGGCACCTGCATCCTGTCCCAAACCTCAGAGCAGAGTAGCTCAACCACTGAAGGCATGTGGACGAGTCTTACATGAAAAAAACTTCAGCATCATCCAACAACGGAAGAAATGTTGCTGACAACAGATTTTTGCAGTCCCTGAGTGAGAAGCACCAACTGTTTTAATAATAAAAACCAACTGCACCTTTATTGTTTGTAATACGCATTTCAATGCATTTCAATTTGTTTCCATTGGACAGTTTATAATTGAGGCCTAAAGGCATCTGCTTTACATTTTGTTAAAAATTACATTACTTTAAGTACTATGCATTTAAAACTAACTTTCGAGACTAACATTTGTTTTGTAATAGAACTATATCAAAAGCATTTTGAAAAATTAAGTATATATCAATAAACTATGGTGTCATCGGCCTACAGATGATATTATACAGATTTAAACACATTATTACGCAAATGGAAACTCTAATAGGTCCTATAACTGAGCCTTGTGCCACTCCTTTACTGTCCTGAAGAAAAGAAAAGGCAGGAGCTACCAATCTACTGTATTTCACAGTTAACAAACCAAACAAAATATTCTGTAAGGTTTTTATCAAGAGGGCGACGAAAACAGCAACACAATGTTGTTTGTTATGGTGATCGTGGATAAACGTGTTAAAACTCTTAAAGTGTCTGTGACAGTTTAAGTTTTCTAAAACCAGAGTGAAACCAAGGTGCAGCGCAGCCGACAGCGAGGCAGCGAATTAACCTGCCAAGCTGCAGCGTTTGCCAAAATGCTCTAGGAGCAACAAAACCAGTCAGATATCTAAGCTTGGCAGATTTAAAACGTTTGATCAATTCAATGATTTTTGGTCGAAGTTGACATGGAAATTAAATGTTTTAAACAAGGTTTTAGAAAAAACGTCCTAGCATAACTGTCAAGGCTCTCCCCTTTTGGGACTCTGAGTTTTTAGTTTTCAGTTATTCTGTTTTGTTGATATTTGGTTTATTTTCCATTATATTCGAGCAGTCTTTTGTTACTCCCTGTTGCCCCTTTCTGCTTGTTTCCTTTCCCCTTGGCTTCCTTCTTGTTAGTTCCACTCACACCTGCTCCTTATTCAGCTCATTGTTCCATCATTTGTTCTGTTCCCCTTATATACTCCACCTCTGCAGTCACTCAGTGCTGCTTCCTGGTTGTTTTGGTTGTTCCTTCGTCTCTGGCTTCTCAAGAGAGTTTTCCCTGATGCTTTCTGTTTTTTTGGTTCTTGGTATTTTAAATTTTTGTTTGTCTGCCTCGGTTTTTCATTAAATCTACAAGATTCACCTCTGCCTCCTGCTCTCTGCATTAGGGTCCTCAACTAACCTCCATACAATTACAGCCTCTATAGCGCATGTTTTCTTTGCTCTTGTCAAAGCTTGTGAATTGTTTTGCAAATTAATCACTGTTTGACTCTGGTGGTCACGGATATCTAATCTTCACTGTGCTGTAAACACAGATGATTAAATAAACCATAGACAGTTTAAGATTAGTTATTTCACAACACCCTCCGGCAGCTTCTCACATCTGATAAAAGGAAGTTCCCACATTTTTCAGTTTGCTTTGGCAAAACTTCCTTAAAGAGTTGATTGTCCTTAAAGACTAAAATTTAAGATATAAGGATCAAGAATCCTTTTTACATTTTAGATGTTTTTCATCAATGTAACTCCTAGAATGGGGGATATAACAACGATTAATGCTTGGCAACAAGTCTATTTTAGTGAAACAAAACCCAGAGTAATTTATCATCTGCATAAGTCAATATTTTTTTGCTTCTTTTAGTTTTGTAAATTTATAAATATTTGATTGACTGTAATACTTGTCCAAAGACTTGACCCCTGAGGGTTCTGATTCTTAGATTTTTATTTTTTTCGACAAGCAGTTTATAGAAAGGACCTGTATTCAAACTATGAGCTGATTTCGAGCACAGCCGATAAACCCATGCAAGTCTAGCTCCTACTGGGGGTAGTTGGCCCACTGTGGGATGGCCTGTTGTCATTTGTTGAGTCCTGGACAGGTTCCTCAAGGAGGTAACGGTCCACCAGATGCTACCTGACAAGCCCACCATCTTGGGCAACATCACTACCCTAAATGTATTTAGGCTGATTTATACTCAGAAACCAGGTCGTCTGCGTGTGTGACGCAGTGAATGCAACTGTGCCCCCACCCCTTCCGCAGTCGCTCTGGTGCACCTTTTCAAAATTGTAGGTGACCACAGACAATGCAGCAGACAGGAGGCCTCTGATTGGTTAAATTTACATCAGCTCTACACTATGGATATTTCCTGTTGGGTACCTTACCGGCTTGTTTTGTTTGTATGAACGCCATTGTGGTGGTGAAGATGGAGCAGTGAGGAGTGCGCTCTCATTTTCCTCCATTGTTGCATTACTTGCCCCCACTACATCACGGACTCAGCCGTATCTAGACCCACAGTTACCTTGTCACAAACAGCAAATGTGATTAAAAATGAAACTCCAGGATATACGGGGTGTGAGATTCTGTTTACTGTAAGCTTGCACTACATGATTAAACAGAAGTAAAAACAGATGGCTAATGTTTATCAGACCAAAGGTTTTAAAGAAACGTGACAAAAACAGAAAACAGATTTCAGTGGAGGCACACAATCCTGAGAAATTAAAAGTTTGAGCATTGTTCCTGTCATGGACAGGTTTGGACAAGTTTTCATCACTTGTTCCCATTGAGAATCTCAGTGGACGATGACAGAATGCTGACACAGTTTTAGATTACAGCTCATCATGTCAGAGCTCCTGTGTGTGAGTGAGTGTGAGTTATGCATCACTTCCATAGAGGATCTTTGTAGAGAACCTAGGTAGCCTACACAGGTGAGGATAATCTTTCTCATCAGAGTGCTGGGCTTAAAAGAGCAGCAGAGCCTTCACTCAGTTCTGGTTTCTTGTGTTGTTGATGTTGTTTCGTTGCTTTCTTGTCACTTCCTTCAAGTATTTTCCCTGACGTTTATTGGTTTTTGTTTGGTTGTCAATATTTTCCTATTTTGGATTTTTGCCTCTGTTCCCCTTGGACTTTTGTTAAATCAACAAAAGCTCATCTGTGCCTACTCCTCTCTGCATTTGGGTCCTCAAAGCCTCCACACAAGCTGAAACATAATTTATCATTTCAGATTTGTTTTGCTGTTGTGGATCTTTGTTCTAAAAGTTTTAGGAGATCAAATATTTAGCATCTTTTCAAGTCATGGGATTCCAAAGAACTTCACATTCAGTCAGTCACCCATTCATGCAATGACTGATGGTGTCAAGCTGAAATGTAGCCACTGCTGCATTGGGGCCCACTGCATCCGATGCCACTGTCGCCGAAAACATTCCCTAACTGCTGCAAATATAGAAAAACTATATACTTAAACTGTGAAGATTTAAGATTAAATGTAACTGTAACTTTCTTTTTGCTGTTTAGATAAGATTGAGCTGGATCCCAAAGACCTTCGCTGGGTCGGGGCTTGGTGGCTCAACTTCCTGCTGGCCTCCGGCCTCCTCTTCCTCAGCGCACTGCCTTACCTGTTCTTCCCCAGAGAGATGCCCAAAGAGGTGAGATGGGATCACTGGATGTTAGAAGCAAACAACGCTGCAGTTTCACCTCAGGAGCTAATTTTGGTCTGCAGGGGAAAACATTCTAAATTTATGCCATCTATCCATCCATCCATCCATCCAACCATCCATCAATCCATCCATCCAACCATCCATCAATCCATCCATTCATCCATCCATCCATCCATCCATCCATCCATCCATCCATCCATCCATCCATCCATCCATCCATGCTCCAACCATCAACAATCCATCCATCCATTATCCATCGATCCATCCATCATCTGTTTCTCTGTGGGCATTGTCTTGTTCTACTCTAACAGCAGCCCTTCATTGTCCAGATGCTTTAGCAGCTCCAAAATTAAAGTTGTCTGTCTGGTTTCACCACAGTCTCCTCTCTGGTATGATAGTTCCCAATAAACATGTTTCTAACTACAAGCAAACAACAGTTAAATGTTCCCTATAATCATTATGGGTGTGATTTAAACGTCTTTGGCCAAGCGTAGCTGCAGCAGCTGTGAGGAAGAGTTTAAACAGCTCCAGTAAGTTTTTTCCGTGAAAACACAGTTTATCTGGAATTGGCCATCTGGCAGAGATAAGACTTGCTAAGCTCAGTGAAAGAGCTGAAGGATTCAGGTTTATTGACTAAAGGAAATGAAGGACATTTTACCAGCAGAGCAGAAAGACCCAGCAGAACCAAACTGAAATTATGTTAATTATCTATTTCCATTTACTCAACAGGGGGTAAACAATATTAAAAACATTTTCTGGCCCAGAAATCTAACAGATCAGAATGATAAGAACAGAAATAATTTAGGGACAGACAGACATCTACATATGATGGAATATAACTGATTATGTGATATTTTTCTCCCAAAAAAAAATGCAGAATAAACTCAAACTGTTTAATTTAGACCTAATGAAGACCTTCAGCTCTTTCATGTTGCAGCTTGCCGCTGTACTGAGGGCTCAATATGTTTTGGCTCCAACCCTGAAAACACAGAACATGTTTTCTCAGTAGAATGACGTGGGTATGCACCAGATTGCTCAACACTTGGACCTCCACAGGAGAGATCAGTTAAACAGCAGCCAAACCTGATGTAGATGAAAACAAGGTGCAGGTCTTCATTTTTACTTCCTGTAGTAGAAATGTGTTTCGCTTTGTACGCAGCAGAGTTCTGAAAGGTTTGGGTTCAGATCAGGGATCCTAGTGTTATAGACCTCATGTCTCCTCCATCCACTGACCTTGGTCACTGTCTAGAAGGCTGGAGATTAAAAACAACTGCTTCTGCTTTTTTAATCATATTTCACTGAAAGTAGCTAATTCTACAGATCCAAAACTAAACGGTCATCAGCATTGGAAGCTGAGGAAAGGTTCCTGACCAGAGACTTTGAAGCAGTAGGGCTGCCTTAGCTCCTCAGGTTATTTCATTGCTCTCATCATAAAGAACTTCATGGACACATAATCTGTGCTGTAAAACAAGCAGGCATCATGACTGACAACATGAAACTGGTCGATCAGGATCAGTCAAGACAAGCCTGGAACAGAAAGCATCATCTGGAGGAGATCTCAGAAAACAGAAACCTTCCATTACTCCGCTGTTAATGAAAATATTACAGACTAAGAGCTTAAAAACTGGACAAGATTTTAAAAAAGAAAGTCAAATAAAGTTCTGGCTGCTCTCAGCAGGGCAATGATGGATGATACCAAGAATTTTACTATTTTACTGCAGTTTTTTTTTTTTTTTTTTCTTTCCTGGGGGAAATAGAGTCCGGTAAAAAAAAACAAAGGAAGTGTGGATTTCAAAAATCAAAAAATATAACATTTGCATTAAAGTGGGATCGCCATTAAAATGCTCCGATCCCTGTAGAAATACAAAGAATGGCATCAACCTGAGACTCAAAGCTCAGCTTATCATCAGTGGAAGTGGAAAAATATTTGACCCACTCGCACTTCTTCATGTTCCATCCCATCAGCAGAGGTGGCAGCAAGATTTCTCCAAACAGCATCTCTTTAGTTTTTGCAACATTAAGAAGAAGAACAACAGCAGTCAAGTAGTTTTTCTTTCACTATAGAACCATGATCCTGATCTTCACTGATCAGCATGGACTCCATGACATCCATCTGCAGTGAAAGAGCCTTCAGTCCATTAGAACTGGACCAATAATCAGAATCTTTTCTTTCAATTATCAATTAAAGAAATAAAAAATTAATTAAAGGTTTAGGAGGGTCTCTGTTCCTGAAGGTTCTTTGGACCTCCAACAAACGGACATGACGGAAAGTTCAGAGGTCAAAGGTGGAGGAGGAAAGAACCCCACCTGAGGCACCTTTGTTCCTTTGGATCTAAAACCCTGGAATTGGAGTCAGGGATCTATAACTCAACAATCTATATAGATAGTTCAATAGATACATTTCGGTAACTACAGTCTACAGTAGATATATCTATCTTGATATGTCTATAAATACACTTTAGAGTAGAGTAAGATAACTACAGTCTACAGTGTATATATATAGATATATAAATATATCTATAACTAAAGTTTTAATATACAATGTATGATTATATAAATAGAATATATATGTAAAATATATTATATATTTATATCATATATATATGTATAACTAGTCTACAGCAGATACATCTATCTGTATGTATCTATCCTATCTATCTATCTATCTATCTATCTATCTATCTATCTATCTATCTATCTATCTATATACCTATATATTCATATATATATATATATATATATATTTATTTATTTATTTATTATATATATATATACTTATCTATATATCTTGTGACGTTTCTTTCTGTTTGACAGAACGCTGCTGACGATGTTGAGTCCAGACCAGACAGTAAGCAGCCAGAGCGAACAGACCCGATGAGGGAACTCTCCTTTATTCAGTTCCTAAAATGTAAGAGTTTGATTTCTGCTTCCGTTTCCTGTCTGATGAGGCCAAGACCACTGTGGGTCAGCAGGTGTTTCATCCTGCTGACCTTCAGAGAGACAGCTGCTCCGTTCTTCAGTTCTGTCATCATAGCGAAGTACCAGCAAACATGAAGAACCCCTACAGAATTTTTAACTCCAACCACAGTGTTGGCATTTGATAGTGAGGTCTGACCTTCAGACACGTGACTAACAGCAATGCGGTTCTACAGGTTTCCCCCGTATCGCTCTGCGGACGCTGCGCAGCCCCATTTACCTCCTGGTGGTCCTGGGCCTGGTCAACCTGGCGGCGCTGGTTTCTGGCCTCGGCACCTTCATGGGCAAGTTCATTGAGAAGCAGTTCTCTCAGACCACCTCATTCTCCAACATGATGATAGGTGAGACCATTCTCTTGGTTCTGTGGTGTGAGTTCTGTTTTTGAGGTTGTTTCCAGAAGGTTCTGCTGTGATGTGATGATCGGATTTAGCTTTATTATTTAAAACTGTTCAGGACAAAAATCCTTTCTAGATGTTTTTGTACCCAAAGAAATCAGACCACTTCCTGTCAGCTATTGAATCGGCTCCACCAGTCCAATCAGAACACCGGTTCCTATAAAGAGGAGCATACAAGGTTGCATCACTTCCCATAAGAAATAGAAATGATGCGGGACACTTCAAGTCCAATTTCCTGCTGCTGATTGGCTGAAATATCTGGAGAAGGCTGCTGGTAGGGCCAAACCTGCTGTAGGAACGGTTTGATGAGGAACCAGGGATTTTCCAGTAGAGCTGCATTACAACGTAAAACCACACTGGATAAAACATCAGAACCTGACAGTTTGGAACTTAAACTCCTGAAGATGGAGGAACCGAAGTTAAAATCCAATGAATCTGTTTCTCTGTAGTTTATTCTGAATTTATTACAGAACCTTCTAGAACCTTTTCTTTTTTACCATGATTAACTCTTCTCTAGTGTCCCAGTCAGGATGAGATCTAACTGAATCTTTGGATGTCCCTGTCTCAGGAGGAATCGGGATGCCGCTGGCGGTTCTGGGAATCGTTCTGGGAGGAGTTCTGATGCGTAGATTTACCTTGTCAGTCAACAGTGCCAGCAAGTTGTGTTCTGCTGTCATTTTTCTCTGCGTGTTCTTCGCCCTGCCGATGATCTTCATCGGCTGCCCCACGCAGACCATTGCTGGGTCCTTTCCTGTCAGGTAGAGTCACCATCATGTACCAGGACAGCCCATTCCTGTTTGCCTGGTTTGTTTTTTTTTTTTTTTTTTTACAGCTGGTTCTAAAGTTCTCATTCATTTGGTTCAACTTTTCTGTTTTCAGGTCCAGTAACCACGCCTGTAACTCTGCGTGTAACTGTCCTCAGGAAGCATTTAATCCTGTGTGCGGTTCTGATGGAGTGGAGTTCCGGTCTCCCTGCCATGCCGGCTGTTTGTCCCGACAAATGGACACAAACGGAAAACCCACGGTAAGAGTTCAGTACAGATCAGGCAACTCAGCTACACCCCAAACCATCAGAACTCTGTTCAGAACAGCCTCAGCACCAGTAAATCTGATTCTTTGGGCCAAACTCTGTGGTCAGCAACACTTTACCTGATCAGACTACAGAGCAGGTGTGTCAAGCAACTAAGAATCATAACTTCTTCCTGGACTTAAAAAGCTTTCCTTATATCTGTACTATACTTTAGTAAAGAATTTGAGTCCTTTTATAACCTCTGCCATAGAAGAACCCCAGGTACCATCAAAGCTTCCATGATCTGAAGAGGATCTGCAGTCTTTACCAACATTAGAAGGAGGTTTTTGCTCCTATACAATCAGTTTAAGCCAAGCTGTGGAGCAGGACAAAAATCTCTGCTGCATGTGAGCTAACATCCCTCTTAACTCCAGAAGATCCAGCGGAGAATAGGGGGGAGTAGGGAGATGTGGAGAGAACTAAGATTAGGCTGATGGTGAGGAGGCCTTTCAACCTCAAGCCTGGCTCTTCTCACTAAAGAGGAACCATCATAACATAATAGAGGAACCATCAGAACACCATAGAGGAACTATCAGAGCATCAAATGAACCAACAGAACACCAAAGGAACCATCAGAACACCATAGAGGAACCAACGGAACACCTGAGGAACCATCAGAACACCCGAGGAACCAACAGAACACCTGAGAACCCATCAGAATACCAAAGGAACCACTGCCACACAAGAAAAACCATCAGAACACCAAAGGAACCGACAGAACACCAGAGCAACAAACACAACACCAGAGGAACAAACATAACACCAGAGGAACCATCAGAGCATCAAATGAACCAACAGAACACCTGAGGAAGCGACAGAACACCTGATGACCCATCAGAACACCAACGGAACCATCAAAACATCAAATGAACCAACAGAACCCCAGAGGAACCAACAAAACACCAAAGGAACAAACAGAACACAAGAGGAACAAACGCAACACCAGAGGAACAAACATAAAACCAAAGGAACCATCAGAACACCATAGAGGAATCAACAGAATACCACAGAGGAACCAACAGAACACCAGAGCAACACACATAATACCAGAGGAACCAACAGAACACCTGAGAACCCATCAGAATACTAATGGAACCACCGGCTCTTCTCACCAAAGAGGAACCTTCAGAACATAATAGAGGAACCATCAGAACACCATAGAGGAACCATCAGAGCATCAAATGAACCAACAGAACACAAAACGTACCATCAGAACACCATAGAGGAATCAACAGAACACCATAGAGGAACCAACGGAACACCTGAGGAACCATCAGAACACCCGAGGAACCAACAGAACACCTGAGAACCCATCAGAATACCAAAGGAACCACCGGCACACAAGAGGAACCATCAGAACACCCAAGGAACCGACAGAACACCAGAGCAACAAACAGAACACCAGAGGAAGAAACAAAACACCAGAGGAACCATCAGTGCATCAAATGAACCAACAGAACACCAAAGGAACCATTAGAACACCATAGAGCAGGGGTGTCAAACCGGTTCCAGAAAGGGCCATGTGGCTGCAGGTTTTCTTTCCAACCAAGCAGTAGCACACCAGACTCCAGTCATCTCATCAAGGGAGTCCAATCTGAACATGATGACTTGATGAGATGACTGGAGTCTGGTGTGCTACTGCTTGGCTGGAAAGAAAACCTGCAGCCACACGGCCCTTTCTGGAACCGGTTTGACACCTGAGCCATAGAGGAATCAACAAAACACCATAGAGGTATCAACAGAAAACCATAGAGGAACCAACAGAACACCAGAGGAACCATCAGAACACATGAGGAACCAACAGACTACCTGAGAACCCATCAGAATACCAAAGGAACCACCGCCACACAAGAAAAACCATCAGAACACCAAAGGAACCGACAGAACACCAGAGCAACAAACACAACACCAGAGGAACAAACATAACACCAGAGGAACCATCAGAGCATCAAATGAACCAACAGAACACCTGAGGAAGCAACAGAACACCTGATGACCCATCAGAACACCAACGGAACCATCAAAACATCAAATGAACCAACAGAACCCCAGAGGAACCAACAAAACACCAAAGGAACCAACAGAACACAAGAGGAACAAACGCAACAGCAGAGGAACAAACATAAAACCAAAGGAACCATCAGAGCACCATAGAGGAATCAACAGAATACCACAGAGGAACCAACAGAACACCATAGAGGAACCAACAGACCACCAGAGCAACACACATAATACCAGAGGAACCAACAGAACACCTGAGAACCCATCAGAATACTAATGGAACCACCGGCTCTTCTCACCAAAGAGGAACCATCAGAACATAATAGAGGAACCATCAGAACACCATAGAGGAACCATCAGAGCATCAAAGGAACCATCAGAACACCATAGAGGAACCAACAGAACACCTGAGGAACCATCAGAACACCCGAGGAACCAACAGAACACCTGAGAACCCATCAGAATACCAAAGGAACCACTGCCACACAAGAAAAACCATCAGAACACCAAAGGAACCGACAGAACACCAGAGCAACAAACACAACACCAGAGGAACAAACATAACACCAGAGGAACCATCAGAGCATCAAATGAACCAACAGAACACCTGAGGAAGCAACAGAACATCTGATGACCCATCAGAACACCAACGGAACCATCAAAACATCAAATGAACCAACAGAACCCCAGAGGAACCAACAAAACACCAAAGGAACCAACAGAACACAAGAGGAACAAACGCAACACCAGAAGAACAAACATAAAACCAAAGGAACCATCAGAGCCCCATAGAGGAATCAACAGAATACCACAGAGGAACCAACAGAACACCATAGAGGAACCAACAGAACACCAGAGCAACACACATAATACCAGAGGAACCAACAGAACACCTGAGAACCCATCAGAATACTAATGGAACCACCGGCTCTTCTCACCAAAGAGGAACCATCAGAACATAATAGAGGAACCATCACAACACCATAGAGGAACCATCAGAGCATCAAATGAACCAACAGAACACAAAACGTACCATCAGAACACCATAGAGGAATCAACAGAACACCATAGAGGAACCAACGGAACACCTGAGGAACCATCAGAACACCCGAGGAACCAACAGAACACCTGAGAACCCATCAGAATACCAAAGGAACCACCGGCACACAAGAGGAACCATCAGAACACCAAAGGAACCGACAGAACACCAGAGCAACAAACAGAACACCAGAGGAAGAAACACAACACCAGAGGAACCATCAGTGCATCAAATGAACCAACAGAACACCAAAGGAACCATTAGAACACCATAGAGCAGGGGTGTCAAACCGGTTCCAGAAAGGGCCGTGTGGCTGCAGGTTTTCTTTCCAACCAAGCAGTAGCACATCAGACTCCAGTCATCTCATCAAGGGAGTCCAATCTGAACATGATGAATTGATGAAGAAAACCTGCAGCCACACGGCCCTTTCTGGAACCGGTTTGACACCTGAGCCATAGAGGAATCAACAAAACACAATAGATGTATCAACAGAAAACCATAGAGGAACCAACAGAACACCAGAGGAACCATCAGAACACACGAGGAACCAACAGACTACCTGAGAACCCATCAGAATACCAAAGGAACCACCGGAACACAAGAGGAACCATCAGAACACCAAAGGAACCAACAGAACACCAGAGCAACAAACACAACACCAGAGGAACAAACATAACACCAGAGGAACAAACAAAACACCAGAGGAACCATCAGAGCATCAAATGAACCAACAGAACACCTGAGGAACCAACAGAACACCTGATGACCCATCAGAATACCAAAGGAACCACCGGAACACATCAGGAACCATCAGAACACCAAAGGAACCAACAGAACACCAGAGGAACAAACAAAACATCCAATGAACAAACGGAACACCAGAGGAACCAACAAAACACCAGAGGAACCAACAGAAAACCAGAGGAACCAAGAGAAATCTAGAGAAACCAACAAAACACCAGAGGAACCAACATAATGCCAGAGGAACCATCAGTTTTGCTGCTGCTGAGATTTTAGTCATGTTTTTTGTTGATTATTGATCTAAATTTTCAGCTCTTTCTTTTCCTTCTCACTTTCTGTCAGAAACTGCCTTATTGTTTGTATAGATAACCAGTTGTTGCCATGGAAATGTCATTTTGTCACCATCCATCTCTTTTGATAGAACTTCACCAACTGCACCTGCATCAATGAAGGTTTAGGTACAGCCCGCCAAGGAACCTGTGGCAGCGGATGTTCTCACCTGCTGCTGCCCTTCATGGTTCTGCTGTCTCTCACCTGCTTCATCATCTCCTTCGCCCAAACACCGTCATACATGATGATCCTCAGGTATGAGCTGACTTCCTATTTCCTGTTCTGTTCTGGATGTGCACTGATTGGATGGACACAGTTGGATCTTTGACCTCAGTCTGCTGGGTGGTTTCAGTTGGAAGCTCCTTTCATTCCCATCACTGCAGCACCGATCTGTTCAGGCACATCTGGCAACATAATCTTTTCAGGTCGTGGTGATAAGATGTGAGCAATGGAAACGTGAACAATAAAGATGATTCTGATTAAAGGGAGGAAAGATCCAAAATCCAGTCAGAGTTATTTACAGCAGCAGATCTCAGTTTCCAGAGCTTTAAATAGAACCCACAGAAATTAAAACAAGGAAACTTTTAGGATCTGAGAACCATGAATATAAAAGAAAATCTGTGCTTTAATCCTTGAGGAGGGATCATGCTAACAGCTTGGGTCCAAACCTCTGCTTTCAGTCCTGATTTAAAAGAACCAACAGTTTGTGATATTATCAGGTTTCCAGAGAGATCAGAAAAGAGCTATAGAGACCAGAAACTGTTTGGTTCTGGTTCTAAGAACACTAAATCATCAGATCTCTGGAGACTTCAGATCAGAATCAGATGGATTTCAAGCTGTGTTTCTGTTCTCAGGTTCTAATCAAGCTTTTGTCCTGTGTTCTCTGACCCATTCTACATGTGTGTTTGCTACAGGACGGTTCCGCCTGAGGATAAGTCCTTTGCAGTGGGAGTTCAGTACATGCTGTTCAGAGTCCTGGGTAAGTCATGGATTTGTCAGAACCTCCCGAATGTTGAACTGGATCAGTTTTTAAGGGAACCCCTCGGTACCAAATACCTGTGTCTTATGTTTCTCCTTGCGCAGCGTTCCTGCCTGGCCCTGTTCTGTACGGTAGCGTCATTGACACCACCTGCATCATGTGGGGTCAGAAATGCGGCAAAAGAACTTCCTGTCTCTACTACAATCTGGACAAGTTCAGACAGAGGTACCATCACAAGAGAACCCAGGCGTACCAAATCAACTGTCCTATCAATGGACCACTTATACCTGCAGGGTTCTGGTGCAGATCAGGGCTGTTACCTTGAATTTTAGATGCACCGCTGCTGCAACAGCTGAACTAGTCAACAGCTTATTTAGGCCTTTTTCAGACCTGATGGCATGAGGAGGATTATTTATAATCTTCTCAATAATTAGTAGATGAATCATTCCTAGGCTTACACACACATTCCTCAGATGAATATAAGGTCCAGTGACACATTGTGGAGCCTCATCATAAGTAAATAAGATTCATGACTTTGTCTGTCAGCTGTACTCAATCCAGGGCAATCCCTTTCTTTGGTCTCCCAGCAACCAGCACAGCAGATTGTTGCGATATCAACATGTAGGTTGTCAGAGTGCTAGTCCATCTGTGAGCACAGCGCATTTTGATTCTTGACTGAATAATACGACTAATCTGTTCTGAGGATTATCTGATTTTAATGTTCATAAAAGATATTTAATTGTTAAAAAAGCACAGAGGGTCTGAGTGCCTGTGTAATGTAGGGTGAACATGTAGAACCTTCTACGCCTTCAACATGAAAATCTAAATGGGTTTTACTCATAAGGAAAGAAAAGTCCATTTCTTGATTATGTTTTATGTATTTCTAAAGCCTGAGAGCAGCACTGAAAGCAGAACCTTTGTGTGTGCAGGTTTCTGGGTCTGATGGTGGTCTTTGTCTGTGGAGCACTGCTTTGCTTCCTGCTGACGATGGTCGTCCTGAGAAGAAGAGCCCAAACTGAAGTTCTAGAAAGCAAAGGAGGCTATAAGCTTGTGGAAGAGAAGAAAGCTTCAGAAAAAGAGCAAACGACAGTGAAGACCTGAGCAGAGATAGCTGGAGAACAATGAGATGGAACATTAGGGTGTTTTCTGACAGAAACTGGAGGCTGCTCCTTGATTCTCCTGGTGTCCACCCCAAAAAGGAGGCCGTCTTTTCTGTTTGTGCATTTAGGACTCTACATCCTTTACTTAATGTGAATGTTTGGAAATACAAGATTTTGAACAAATGTGATCATCCAGAACACTGCAGAGCTTTAACTCCGGACTGGCTTGCTGGCAAACCCAAAGGAACACGGATCTTTACATGGGATTTATGGGCTTCCTCTTTCTAAACTACAACAGTTTCCAAAAGAAACAAAGAGGCATCGTAACAGGAAGGAAAAGCTCATAAAAACAGGGCTAAAAGCCAGAACCTCCTACTGCTGAAAAACAGCCTGAGAAGGTGATCCTGTCCTCTACCTCAGGTCCACAGTCCTTCTTGTAATAAATTTTACATCCCAAACCTGCAGCTGATTAGCTGAGAAGAGCCACCAAATGAAATACAAATACTCCACTTCTTTGGAAACACTGAACGTTTATACTGTTTTATATGATGGAAATCTGCTACTTGGATTAAAGAGGCTGCAGTTCTGCTCAAAGCATCTAATAGGGCTTCGAAAAATGAGGAAAACAGCTTGATTAAAGGCTGATAAAGATGGCTGAATCGCTAAGAAAAGGAGAATAATCTGTGGATTCTCCTGCTGAAACCTTCCATCAGAGCAAACGTCCCAACTTTTCTCTTCCTGATGCATATTAACGTTTCATGCCTTTAAACTCAATATTGTTTTTTATACACGTATGAGTTTGTTTTGTATACAAGTTTGTTATGTACCTTTAAAATATGAACAAACACAAAAAAGCAGCTTAATTTCACCAATAAAGAAAACATTTTTTTAAGTTGGATGGATGGATGGATGGATGGATGGATGGATGGATGGATGGATGGATGGATGGATGGATGGATGGATGGATGGATGTTCTAGAGTTTGTTTGTTTGTAAACTTCAGCCTTATTTTTTTGTCAACAGAAGGTTTTTCCTCTCCTTTTTCGTGTATAATCCCCCAAAATATTGGACATCTTTTACTTGAATACTTCCCCATGTATTCTCCTTTTTTTCGTGGTTAAATGTCAACTTCTTCATCTCTAAAGTAAGACTAAAGGCGTATGTGTCGCAGTGAATGCAAATGTGCCTCCGCCCCCTCCGCAGAAACTTTGCTGCACCTCTCCAAAATTGTAGGTGACCGCAGACAGTGCCGTAGACAGGAGGCCTCTGATTGGTCAGATCTACATCCGCTCTGCACTATGCGTATTTCCTGTTTGGTGCATCACCTTGTTTTATTTGTATGAACGCCATTGTAGAAAACGACTCATGAATTTAGACAAGCTAGTAGAGGGAGATGCACGAGAACGCTGGGACCCTTTTTCGCCATCATGTCCCTACATTGTCACACAAACTTGCCCCCACTTCCTCACTGCCTCGGCCGTATCTAGACCCACAGCTAGTTCCTGATTGTCCCTCTAGTGTTGTGGACTACGCTTCAAAATTGGGCATAAATCAAAAATATCTGCAAGAAGCTCACTACGACACACTGCTGCAGGAGGATAACCAGCCAATTACTCTTAAGAATTCAGATCACAATCTTCTTTTTCTCTGCTAAGATTATAAGCCACTTTATAAAAGACAACCTGTATTAAAAAGAACTGTAAGGAGATGGTCACGGGAAGCTGAAGAAGCCCTGCAAGGTTGTTTTGAGGCTACAGACTGGAATGCACCATGCCAGCCACATGGAGAGGACATCAATGCAATGACTGAGTGTGTGACTCACAAGTGATTTGAAGGAACTACTCAAAACGAAAAAGCAAGCCTTTAAGAAGGGAGACAGCAAATTAATGAGGAGTATACAGAAGCAACTTAAGATCTAGATAAGAGAAAGCAAGGAGGCCTATAGGAAAAGCTTTGAAAACAATATCCAGCAGATAGATATCAGAGATCTGCGGTCATGTATGAATAAGATAACATGGTGAATCAAGCAGAAGGATGATCAGTCAGATGGAAGTCTGGTCAGACCCTATGAACGGAATAAATTCGTCAGCAGATTCCGTTCAGAAATAAGCTCAGTATCTTATCTGATCTCTCTCGTCATCTGCTGGGGTAACAGCATCAGAGCCAATGGCTGAAAGGAGCTCAACCAGCCAATAAAGAAGGTCAGCTCTGTTATAAGAACTCCTCTGGAGATTGTTTCACAAAGAAGGATTCTTCATAAAGTGAAGAAGATCATGGACAACATTGAGCATCCTCTTCATCAGACTGTCAAACACCAACAGTGTCTTCAGTCAGAGGCTTCTGAACAGCCACTGTAGACAGACCACTACAGAGGCTCCTTTCTGCCTACAGCAGAAAGAAACTATGAATTACTGCAGCAGTTCTCCCTCTCAAATGTGTTTTTAATTGAATTCTCAATATTCATCTCAAACTGGTCTGTTGGTTCCGACCGTTTTGCTGCTCCTCTTCTGATCCGAAATCCCTGAAACCATCTCAGATGTTCTGAGGCAGCAGAAACATCTCCCCGCTTTTAGATAAACAGATCATTTCATCACAGCTTGACGTTAGAACATTCCTGCAGACAGACATGTCCAGACTGAAACTGGAAAAAAAGTTAAACAAACATCTCTGCAGGTTGAGATCCGCCAGCAGCTTCTCCTCAGGTTCTGCTCGCCGCAGTAGGAAATCAGTCACTTTCACCGCTGGAGGTCAGTTTTAACAGAACTTTGGTTCCGGGTTAATAAATGTTGGAGCTTAAGCAAAGTTTTTTATCAATTCAAGTAATAAACAATTATTCAGGTACATTCTGCAAAATAAATCTCTATACATATAAATCAATGCAGCTTTTGATTTGGCATTTACTGAATCATATTTAGTTACTGTAACACAATTGTTTTATGTCCTACCCTGCTAACATGAAACAGTTATGATAAAAGTAACTAAATATGATTAAGTAAATGCCAAAAACGGTTGCATTATTCTTTTCAGTGTAACTAAGATAATTTCTCAGAAACCTCACTGCGTCATATCAACTTTTCATATTTCCATTGTTTTCCTGCTCCTCTGTGAGGTCTGGTTCCAGACCTCAAACAGAAACAGAAATCAGTTTAATGCAGCCTGAACACCCTCCTACCTCCATGCTCCTCAGCCAATCAGCACCCTGTATGTCTTTATTACTATGTAACTGCTGGTTCAATCATCTTAACAGACAGAACTTTGGGCCATTCAAAGGTTGAAGCCTTTGACTTGTCAGAGAAGTGTTGCTCAAACACAGGAAGCAGGATTTCAGTCCAAAGGCCACATGTCATGAGGACCAGCTGCAGAAACAGGAAGGAGCATTTCTCCAAGGTTCACAGCTGCCTTTGTTCCATTGGCCTCATACTAGATCCAGTGTCAGAAAGTTAAAAATGAAAAAAACCAAATGTCCAGGGATTCAAAGGGGAATGTTGAACTCCTGTCACATTAAAGAAGCAGCGTTTTTGGCTTCATGTTGTCTACAGTTTTATTAAAGTGAAATAAAACAAAAACCTTCAACATTTAGAGCACTTTAAAACCCTGATGATGTTTCTATTCCTCTATTTGTCCTTTAGTCTTGAACTTTTTGAAGTTTTGTTTAAATTACTTTTTTATATTAGGAAACCCTTTTTCACAATTCTTACAAAAACTAAAGATTTTTTTTATTATTTTCAGTCATTTATTTTAGGGCTGAATGTAGAGCTGAGTCGCCCTCTGGTGGAGACTGGGCTGTATTATATACAGACGTCTGGACTCAGGAAGGAAAGCTTCTGCAGTAGCAGGCTATATAAAGATTTGTAAATAGAGAGGAGGACTTCCTCTGTTCCTTTGTTCTCCTTTTCCATAAATAAAAACTGTTTATTTGATTTGCCTGGATTTTCCTTTTTTATCTGTAGTACTCTTACTTTTTTCCTCTGATGTCAGACTAACTTCTTAAAAGTTAATCATCTGTATGCCTATGTGTTTCCAATTCTTTTCTGTTCTCATGTAGAAACTTGAAAAATTAGAGAGAGAAAAGGTGGACATTGAGGAAGACAGAAGAGAATAAAAAGAACAGGATCATTAGCTCAGTGCTATTAAGTCTCATTAGTTTTAGGATTAGGCCATAGAAATGAATAGAAAGTCCCCACAAGAATAGTGACACAACTTAATTGAAAAGAAATGCAGGTTTAAATGGAAAAATCCGATTTTTTAAGTTGTTTTTTATAAAGAGTTCCTAGATTTCCCTAAGTATTTAGTCCTTTAGACGTCCTGGATTACAAACATCACTTCATGAAATGAATCCCTAAACCAAGTAGTTTAACTGTAGTTATGATTTCTTTGGCTTTAATTCACTGGATCCCATGTTTTTTACTTGGTTTTCATCTGATTCTAAGCCTCTCTAAGCTTGTTAAGTCTGGTTCAGTGGGGACAGGAGGGTCTTTCATGATTTAAAGTTCCAACATCTTTCCACCTGCTGTGGATCTCCATGCAGTGAGACACAACCACTGGCTCTGGATATGCAGTCATGTTTCATCCAGACCTTCTGTCATGAGCCCAACAGATTAAGGCTGCCAGAAGATGTAGGCCATTATGCTGTGTTTCTGAGGGGCACGAGCTGGAGTATTGATCCCTCATCATGAACTTTGTGGACTGGTGTGAGAAGAACCATCTGTGTCTTAACACCACTAAGAACAAAGAGACGGTGATCGACTTCAGGATAAGACCCCACCTCAATCTCGTGAACATCAAGGGGCAGGACATAGAAACTGTGGAGAGTTTCAAATACCTGGGTGTTGATGTCAATAACAAACTGGACTGGACTCATAACACTGATGTCCTGAATAAAAAGGGCAAGAGCCACCTCCACCTCCTGAGGAGGCTGAGGTCCTTTGGACTGAGCAGGCCCCTGCTGAAAACCTTCTATGACTGTGGTGCCATCAGCTCTCCTCCACACTGTAGTCTGCTGGGCCCCCTGGCAGCGCAGAGCGGGGCAGAAAGAGACTGAACAAACTGGTGAGAAAGGCCACTTCTGTCCTAGGCTGCACTCTGGACTCAGCGAAGGACGTGGCTGAGAGGAGGGTGGTGTCCAAGCTTACATCCATCCTGGACAACACCTTCCACCCTCTGAACCAGACTGTAGAGGACCTGAGCAGCTCCTTTAGTGAAAGACTTCTACACCCTGTTTGTAAAAAGGAGCGCTCCCGCAGGTCATTCATCCCTGCTGCAACCAGACTCTACAAAGCGACACTAAAACAGCCATAACCTGTGCAATGTATGTCTAATTCACCATGTGCAATAACCTGATTCTCTTTATTTGACACCCAGCTCAAAGCTACATATATAAATATAAATATCCATCTATATAAATACCCATGTAAACACCCTGAGCAATAACCCTGTATAATGATCCTACTGTATAAAAAACGCTGTCATGTGTGGACGCATTGTATATACTGTATATATCCCATGCACCTTTTTCTTCCTTTGGCACATTCTTCTTCTTTGACTAATTGAGCTGATGGAATGAGTAAATTTCTACACTGTAAGATCAATAAAGTCAGTCAGTCAATCAATCAATCAATCAATCAATCAATCAATCAAATCTGGTCCAATCCAAGATAGTTCTCTGTTTCTAATAGCCCAGAGAATCTTCTGTTTGATTCAGGGATTAGAATGATAGAGAGGGTCAGATGGATTATTCCTCGGGATCCCTGAAGGTTTTTGTTAAAAAAAAAAAACCAGACCCACTCATAGTCAGACAGCAGAAACACAAGAACTTTGTGCTTGATGTTATTGTCATGTTTATTGTGATAATTGATGACATACAAAAGATTTCCTTTTTTGGATTATCTCAGGA